TTTTTTAAATCAATTGACATACATACATACATACATACATATACATATATATATGAAATATATATATATATATGAAAAAATTAACTAATAATTGCACAATTTTCTATCATTAATTGTGATTAATTGCAATTACTTGATCAATAGCCTAGCTACAATTACCATTTTTCAACTATAAATTTGAGCATACGTATGTTTCTGTATATATATATTATATACACACACACACACACGCAGAAACATACATACGCTCAAATTTAAAGTTGAAAAATGGTAATTGTAGCTAGGCTATTGATCAAGTAATTGCAATAAATCACAATTAATGTCAGAAAATTGTGCAATTATTAGTTATTTTTTAAATCAATTGACATACATACATACATACATACATACATACATACATACATATACATATATATATGAAATATATATATATATATATATATATATATATATATATATATATATATGAAAAAATTAACTAATAATTGCACAATTTTCTATCATTAATTGTGATTAATTGCAATTACTTGATCAATAGCCTAGCTACAATTACCATTTTTCAACTATAAATTTGAGCATACGTATGTTTCTGTATATATATATATATATATATATATATATATATATATATATATATATATATATATATATATATCTCAAAGTCATTTATTTTTATTGTCATTTCTACCACATGTACAGGACATACAGAGAAACGAAATTGAGTTTCAGCACACACAATTCAAAGAATTTGTGACTGCGGTCATTCGCAACATGAGTTGCATTATATATATATATATATATATATATACATATATATATATACATATGTGTGTGTGTGTGTGTGTGTGTGTGTGTCCATTACATTTCAATTTCATGGTTAAACAGTACATGTTAAAATCTAAGCTCAGCTAGTACAAGAGTGGCAGTGACCTAAAATACATGAATATAATTTTACTTACTGAAAAAAATGAAGTGGAGACTTCTTGGATGGTCTATTAGTGCACTTCATACCACAGCAAGTCCTTTTGTCCAACAATTGCACAAATAATATCCAAAAAATAAAAAAATGCACAAACGCTACAACTAATGGTCTAAGTTGAGAGACTAAAAATCGCGGAACAGTTTTCAGTTGAGGCCGAGGATCAGACTGAGGCCTTTCCACGGAGCTAGCTCTGTGGTCACGTGGGTCTGATGCTCATTAATTATTCAGAAGTTTAGGCATTTCAATACACTTAAACAGAAGAGTGACAAAAAATCACCCTCCTCAGAGTTGTCATGAGTGTAAACTAGATCTATTAAACCTAAAACATGTTTTGGATCCAGGCTGTAAGCATGTTTATTTCTGCTGTGAAATTGGTATTTTTAACATGGGAGTCAATGAGGATGTGCTCGCTTCTGACACCAGCCCCTAGTGGATGAGGGTGGAACTGCAATTTTTGTCACTTCCGTGTTGGCTTCAATTTCATACCAGTATTATGGGGGCTTGGTATGTACGTATATGTATATTTGGGGGTCTCTTTTCTTTTAAAAGCTTCAACATGTTTTATTAACTTTAATTAAATCCACATGATGTTTTTAGGGTATTTTTTTAATATATAAACACTCCAACTTGTTCTTGTGTTTTCCTTTTGAACTTCAATAAAAAAAGTCATGTCAATCATTTTAAATGTTGTTGCCAATGCTTTAACTTTGTTTAGAGCAAACGTTGCATTATTCCAAACACCATTCAACTTCTAGTCTTGGAGTTTATCATTCAGTAAATATTTCATGTGGCAAAGACTAAACGATAATAGAAATTAAGAATATTTGCATAAAACAACTCTTCCATGTTCTTACACTGATAAAAGAAAACATGTTTATTTAGAAGAGATTCTGAGAATAGCAGCAGGAACAAAAATAGAAACAGATGGATGATGGAGAAATGAGTTTGAAAAGACAGTAAACATAGAAGGGGGTGTTGGGATGGCTGTTTAATGGACAGCTCAGATAAAACTGAAGGATGACAGATGTTGAGGGTCGGAAGGAAATGAGTGGTATGAACAGAAGCGAGAGGAGGAAGGAAAAACACAATGTGAAGATGACAGGAGTAGGAAGGGTGAGCAGCTGAGGAGGGGGGAGGGAGGGACAGATATGGGCCACAGTGACATTAGGCAGATGGCTCACAGCGCTCAGCTTTGTTTACTTTCCTCTTACTGTTCAAGCAAAAGCAGCCGTGAGACAAAAGTGAAACCTAGAGCAGGACGACCGCTCACAGGTGAACGTCAGGCCAAGTTTCCTCTGCATCTGCAGCAACTGGAAGCATCAATCTGTTTGGACTGACGTGGTAGTCTCTCACCGCCTGAAAGTAATTGCTTGCTTTTCTTGAGAGGGCACGGGCGGGTGGGTTTACAGAGTACACAGTAATGTCCTGTGTTTACGCAACAGCACTCCACCTCTTCAGGAGCTCGCCGCTTGGCAGCGTTTATCTGCTACCTGTACAGGCTGTCATGCTCCTAGAGCAGGCCTACAACACCTGCTCACTGCCTCAGAAATCAACAGCACACTCAATCATCATGACTTGCTAAAAGGTTCCGTTGTGAGGGTGGGAATAAGCCAGAACTGAACATCAGATGCATCCCAAACTTCTACAATACAGCTGCTGTCATCTCCCTGGGGGGGGGGGGGGGGGGGGGAGGACCTTCACCTAATCCCTGCATATCTAAATGGTATTATGTAAGAGATGCTCTGAAATGCAGGACAGCCAAAACATTGTTTTCCGCAGCATAGATTGAGAAGCATTTTGTCACAAAAAGTCCCTAACAGCTTAGAGAGGATGTACCTGATCAATAAACTATCTGCACTGCTGAGCCAATGAGCAACTCTCTCTCTCTCTCACACACACACACACAAACGCGCGCACGCACGCACACGCACACATACACACACACACACACACACACACACACACACACACACACACACACACACACACACACACACACGCAGGCGCACAAAATTATTTACCTGCAAGGTTCAAATAGTTCCTGCAGGTGTTGCAGCTTGGCAAGCTCCTGAGTGTGTGTGTGTGTGTGTGTGTGTGTGTGTGTGCATGTGTCTGTGTGTGTGTGTGTGTGTGTGTGTGCATGTGTGTGTGAGCATGCGTGTGTGTGTGTGTGCGCGCGCGCGTGCGTGCGTGCGTGCATGTGTGTGTGTGAGCATGCGTGCGTGTGAGTGTGTGTGTGCGCACGTGTGTGTGTGTGTATTTATATGTGTGTGTGTGTGTATTTATATATGTGTGTGTGTCTGTATTACTGTGCAAAATTTGTAGGAAGGTGTGAAAGAAATGCTGTAAACAAAGAATACTTTCAAAATCATCATCATCATCATCATCATCATCATCATCATCATCATCATCATCTCCCCTCAGACCTTCTTGAGTGTCCACCTGCAGCCTCTCAGTGAGCACTGTCACATACCGTCTGTGAACACGAGCTCAGATTTTAACGGAAGTGGCCTTGTGTCGGGTCAGCACCGATTCCCACAATGCAGTTTGATTTTTATTGCACGCTGGAGCATATTGTGGGGTCAAATGAGAGCACAGATGCTTCTAAAAAACTTTGCAGCATGTGAATACATTTGAGAAGATCCCACACAGAGGCGCGTGTGTGTGTGTGTGTGTGTGTGTGTGTGTGTGTGTGTGTGTGTGTGTGTGCGTAAATGCATGCATGTGTACGTGAGTGCGTGTGTGTGTGTGTGTGTGTGTGTGTGTGTGTGTGTGTGTGTGTGTGTGTGTGTGTGTGTGTGTGTGTGTGTGTGTGTGTGTGTGTGTGTGCGTAAATGCATGCATGTGTACGTGAGTGCGTGTGTGTGTGTGTGTGTGTGTGTGTGTGTGTGTGCGTAAATGCATGCATGTGTACGTGAGTGCGTGTGTGTATGCATGAATAAATTAAACAGTTAACACATGATTGGGTTAGTAGCTTAGAAGCAGATTTTTATTACACAAACACTTTGGATGTTTTTGGTAATGTGAGGTAACAAGGTCACAAACTACAACCAGTTTTGCAATTTTTGCAACTTTTTTTAATTATTATTTTTAATTTTAAAACCAGGAAACAGTGGGTGGTCGGGGGGTCATGGTCCCCCTTAACAAATCACATTCATGTTCACGTTCGCAAAAACAGACACTCTTCTTCCTTAATCAAGATATAAATGTTAAAACCAATGAATTAATTTATTGCAGTAACGTTTAATAAATGATTCAGTTTATAAATTCTAATAAAAATCTGTATGTGTGTCACTGAGGCTCACCATTCCAAGTGTAAATCCTGATAGTTTTTTGTGGATTTTTTTTTGCTGAAACAACAAATTCAGAAAAAATACATTTTGAAACAATAACAGAAAAATCTGTTTGCACGAATCAAAGCTGAACTCTCCCAGTCTCACCACACAGACCAGTTTGGTTTCCAACCTCATCTTTTTCCCTGGCCCCTTCTGACCCCCTTGTGAAATATTTCTGGGGTGCTACAGCAAACAGCTGACCAAAAATCCTTTTTCAGATGAAACGTTTGGCCATTGCTAAGGTTAAATGTCATGAAGATCAGACTGCCTGAGCGGTGCTACCATTAGTAAATCCATCTAAAGAGTTTTTTTTACAGACTGACATTATAGCCTTATTAAAGCAGAATCAGATTGAACAGGACATGACAGCCGACTTCCTGTTCAAAGTGAAGGAACCGCCTGTCTTTACTGGTTCTGCTGAGCGTCAAAAGGCCAGTCAGTGGTCCACAACCGCCTGTGTTTGACTAAGGATGGAATAAACCTACCAGGTTTCTTCTGCTGTCATCAGCAATGTAGGATAAAATCACATGAAACCATAAACAAAGCTTCATCTCCTTAATCCTGATCTTCGCTTTGGTTTTCATCTTTAATTCCAAATTCCTGGATACAAAATCTGTGAATAAGTCCTCCTAAAAAAAACTTCTATTTAATAGCTGACAGTCTTCCTGCTCTGATCTCACCAGGTCAGCGCTAATGTCCTCATCTTCCTGTGCACCAACATCATCGGCATCTGTACCCACTACCCAGCAGAGGTTTCCCAGAGACAGGCCTTCCAGGAGACCAGAGGCTACATCCAGGCCAGGCTTTATCTGCAGAGGGAGAACCAGCAGCAGGTAGGTCTCTCTCTCTCTCTCTCTCTCTCTCTCTCTCTCTCTCTCTCTCTCTCTCTCTCTCTCTCTCTCTCTCTCTCTCTCTCTCTCTCTCTCTCACACACACACACACACACACGCACGCACGCACACACACACACACACACACACACACACACACACACACACACACAGTCTAACCGTTTATTCTGCACAAAGGCATCGTATTTGGATTTCAGGTTAGTAAACTGAATTAATAAAGCAACATGAAACCTGCTCACAGCTTCATAGTCGTGCGTTTAGTATGTTGGAACTATTAATAAACATTTAATGGTCAGGAAAAGTGGAGAGTCATCTTCCTGCTTCCTTCCTGCTCTGAGACCTGGAAAGATCTACAGGTCATCAGACGTGACAGTGAAATCCTGAGGAATTGTTATATTTGTGTTTCTGTGAAACCCCAGAAGCCCCAGACCCCTTTACCAGAGGCTTGACTTGTTTGTCTTTGTGTACAGGGACATTTTTTTACAGCGTATTGTTTCACAGGACGGATTTGCTCTCCTCCACTGGTCTCTGGTGACTAAACTTGACCCTCTTTTCGGCCTCATCTTATTGTTTTCTTCTTTGAATTTTCCATCTGTTGCCACCAGATGTAAACGGCAACATGAAGGAGAAAACAGTCAGAGTGGTCTGCAGGATCAGTGACTTCTTACCAAAAAACTAGATTTCTTTTTGGTTTAGTTTTTATTTTCGCTTTGACAACAAGACAAATATTTACAAGTCTTTGGTTTGTGAAATGATTTTCTTTATCTTATAGGAGCGTCATTGTATGAAATTCTCAGATGAAAATATTTATTTAGCTTGAATTAAAGATGCAGAACACATTTCTTTTAATAAAATAACTAAAACAATATTTTCCTTTCTGTTTCAAAAATGAAAACAGAGCGGAATACTTGGTGAACAGTGGTTGGTACGGGGGGGCGGGGCTTACATTTTGGCTGTTAGGAAACATCTTAAATATTTAAATGAAAAGTAAAATAAAATGCCCAACATGTTACAAACCGTATTGCCCCCAAAAGCTCCCCAAAGCTTAGTTTTCATTGTTTTTTGTTCTGGGTCAATAAAGGGTTAATGAACGTCTACATTCCTTCTAAGAGATTGAAACGGTCACCTAACCGCGCGAGCGCAGTGGCATACGGCACGCAGACAATGATGCTGTGAATGATACAATCTGCATTCTGTGGCTTGTGTGTTTTCCAGGAACGTCTGTTGCTCTCAGTGTTGCCAAGGCACGTTGCCATGGAGATGAAGGCTGACATCAGTGCCAAGAAGGAAGACATGATGTTTCATAAGATCTATATCCAGAAACACGACAATGTCAGGTGAGCCTGCGGTCCTTCTCGTGTGTGACACTTTCACCTGTCTGTGATTTAGGTGAGTTATTCTGAGGCGACTCGTTTACATTTACTCATTCAGAAAACACACACACACACTCACGCAAGCACACACACACACACACACACACACACACACACACACACACACACACACACACACACACACACACACACACACACACACACACACACACACACACACACACACACACACAAAAGTCCATGAGACAAGGTCGGCTGGCCCAACTGTAATATTCGGGCTCATATAGTCAAAACTTTAAAGTTGGTTGTTTTCTATTTTTAGCTCAGAATGAAAGAATTGAACTCTACTTTTCTTTGCTTCAGTATTCTATTTGCAGACATCGAGGGTTTTACCAGCCTGGCGTCTCAGTGCACAGCCCAGGAGCTCGTCATGACCCTAAATGAACTCTTCGCCCGTTTCGACAAGCTGGCGTCGGTAAGGAAGCCGTCTCCAAATGAGTTGTACGGTGTCCCTTGTAGGACAAACTGGGGTCTCCGGAGAACAGATCCAGACTAAAATGTGTCTTGGACTGGGTCAAAAGTAGTCAGACCAAAACGCAGCAGGCTTCAGTACGCCTTCAAGCACCTCGTGATTTTCATCTTGAGAGGCGCTATAGAAATGATACTTTCTTCTTCTTCTTCAGGAAAAACGTTGGAACAGGCAAGAAAGAGAAAACAATGATGCTGTAGTTTCCTTCTTATCTGAGCTTCTGATTCAGCTTTTCAACATCTCCTGATTCCTAAAGATTTAATATCCTCACAACTCTTATCCAGACATGATACTTTCTCATTTGACTTTTTCTGGTACCCAACTCCTTTTGGTCTGACAACTGTTTTTCTAATACCTGATGAAATGTGACCTAGAGTCTGACATCAGGATGTTTACCTGAGACCTAAGGATGCCTTAACGCAAACACTTCCTAGACGTTGAGGCGATTATGTTTAGAGCAGGAGGACTGTCTCTTTTCCTGATGTCTTCTGTTTCTTGTCTCAGGAGAATCACTGCCTGCGAATCAAAATCCTGGGTGATTGTTACTACTGTGTGTCCGGACTGCCTGAACCCCGGGCTGACCACGCCCACTGCTGCGTGGAGATGGGCGTCGACATGATCGAGGCCATCTCGTGAGTGAAATAAATATAAAATAGTTTTGCTGTTTGCATCGTTCCCCTTGTGTCAGAGACATCGGTGTGTGTGCAGGTTGGTACGCGAGGTGACGGGGGTCAACGTTAATATGCGCGTGGGCATTCACAGCGGACGCGTGCACTGTGGCGTGCTGGGACTCAGGAAGTGGCAGTTTGACGTGTGGTCAAACGATGTCACACTGGCCAATCACATGGAGGCGGGAGGCAAAGCAGGGTGAGGAAAAACAACAACCCAGCTTCACGTAAATCCAAAAATTATGTCGCTATTTTAGCTACAAGGTTATGAACATCACGTGCATTTGTAATTCTGTATGCTAGCATACGTTTCTAGGACAAAAGACAAGATTATTTCTTATGTAGCCTCCTCTTTGAGATGTTTTAGCCTCTATGTGTAAACAATGACCATAAGAACACCCTTTCATGGTCTTTTTTGGTCGATATCAGCCGAATCCACATCACCAAGGCCACATTGCAGTACCTGAATGGGGACTATGAGGTGGAGCCAGGTTTTGGAGGAGAGAGGAACGTGTACCTGAAGGAGAACAGCATCGAGACTTTTCTGGTCCTCGGCTGCAGCCAGAAACGGGTCAGTGCACCGATGCAAATACCTGAGGATCTCCTTTAGCTTAGTCAGGTGAAAAAGAAGGTTATGTTTTGAGCCATTCCATCTGTACCGGGTCGGCCCGGCCCGGGTAGCCCCAGTCGGCCCCAGCCTGGCCCGGTTGATTCCACACATCCTTGTCTTAAGCCCATGTGGGCTGATTCTACCCACCAATCAGAGGCTTACTCTAATGGAAGGTGTGAATTTGCTGTCAGCAGTGGGTGTGTTGGCCCTGGTCGGCCTGAAGCAGACCCCCTCGAGAAGAGGGCTGAGAATGAGCCTTGGTTGGCCCGGAAAAATACCAGGCCACCCAGATATGTAAACAACCTACGCTACCCGGCCCGGGCCGACCCGGTACAGATGAGAATGGCCCACTAGAGTGGTGTTATGAAGGCAGCTCAATTCAAGTCTGAGGTTTACAAGTACGTTTGTTTCTCTAGCATTAGTGGCAAGTCAAAGGAAGTAAATCATTTCTGTTTAAGATAGTTTTGTTGGAAACAAAATCATCGTAGCTTCTTCCTGTCAAACTGCAATTCAGATCAGAAAGATTTTTCTCCTTGTCTTTATTTTCCATGATTTGCTAAAAAGCTCAAATGAGCTATAGCAGCATGATGCAGAAGGATACTTTTTCAATATTTTCATGGGATTTCCTCTTGAACCAGATAGAAAAAAATTGTGATTTCTTTGTAACTGACAAGCTTGTAAATGAAGTCCTCCAACCGCCTGTCCGGATCTTTGAATGGCGAGAAGGAAAAGCCAGATTCGCTGAGCGCTCTTAGTCACTCTCTGTGTGTTGTGTTGCATGAGAACAGTTGGTCAGGCCTTGGTGTTGTTCCCTCTGAGCAGAAGGACGAGAAGGCGATAATGGCGAAGCTGCAGCGGACGAGGGCCAACTCTAATGAGGGGCTGATGCCACGCTGGGTTCCTGACAGAACCTTCTCCAGAACCAAAGACTCCAAAGTCTTCAGACAAATGGTGAAGCCGGAGAGAAATATGTTTGGTGAAGGAGCTTTCCTCCCAGAGTTGTAATGTTGCTCGTTTTCCTTTCAGGGAATTGACGAGTCATCCAGTAAAGACAAGTAAGTTCTGGCTCTTTGCTCGGTCTGTTGCCTCCTGCTCAATTGAAGTATTTCATCTTTGTAAATGAACGTTTGCAGCCGGGGTGTTCAGGAGACCATGAACCCAGAGGATGAAGTAGATGAATTCCTGGGGAGAGCCATTGATGCACGTAGTATTGACCAGCTCAGAAAAGATCACGTCAAGAAGTTCCTACTTACCTTCCAAACCTCCAGTCTGGAAAAGAAGGTGTGACTTAAAGGGTCATTTCTTTGGCTTATTATCCTCAAATGTTAAAGATGTTTAGAAATAAATAAAATAACGTTGCTTGGCTTTAGTGAGCAACTTTACTGAGGAAGTGTATTTTACTTGGTCGTTCACTGTGAGTTTCACATGCAGGCTGAACGTAACAACAGTCTTCTACCTGTTTCCTGCATTAGTTGTGATAGAAAACTGATGTTCGGGTCAGAAAAAGCCACACACATCTACATCACCCTGAAACTTAGCATTCATGAACTGACCCATCTAGGCTTGGGACGGGGACGGTTGATTTAGCATCCAGGAGAGAGCAGAGCACGTCTCAGCTGGAAGCTAAATGTTATTCAAGGCAAGATGTCCCAATATCATGAATATTAAAGTGGCAGTGTGTAGTTTCCTGCCTCTAGGTGGCAGTACATACATACATTCCAGGATTGTTTTACACCATATTGTCGTGACTGTCGCTAATTTAAAAAACATTATGGTAAATGCAATTACCTGTGGAGCAGAAAACATGTGACCTCTCCATCGAGAGAGTGCAATGCTGATGCTAGTATTCTGGTGTTGTAATTTCTGGATCTGCGCCTGCCGATGACATCATCATTGTATGGCAATACCACTCAGCCAAAATTTATTGCATCTGTTTTTCGATTAAGTTCTTTCACAAATTTTTTGGAAAAAGTTTAGCTGTTTTGTTATTAAATTCGTGTTCCTAAATGTTTCAGAACATGGTAACGCAGCATCCGTAAGTCGTACATACAGCCAATCGTCTAGTGTGACATCATTGACAGGCACAGGACCCCTTGCCAGCCAGAGGGAAACATGGCGTCTATTATGGCGTCACCCATAAGCGCTAGACCCACGCCCCATGTACTTTAGACCCGATTTTTTTGGTTACATGCTACAAAGCCGCCAATAATTTTCAATAACTGGACACAATTTTATTAATTTTGAACACGTTTTCTAAGGATATTTCCAGAGATTAACGGTTAAAAACTACAGATTGCCTCTTTAACAAGAAATACCCTTTCTCCAGTTAATTTCTACTTCCTGAAACAGGACAGCGAGAGCTTTTCCACAGTAAACAACTCACACAGCATCAATTCAGACTAGAGACTGCAGCAAATGTATTGTAAAAACAAGTGAATGAGCGTTTTAATTCTCTCTTTTTTATCGTTGCAGTATTCTAAGAAGGTGGATGACCGTTTTGGGGGCTACGTAGCCTGTACCCTGCTAGTATTCTGCTTCATATCTTTCATACAGATTGTTATCTTTCCACAGTGAGTATTTTAAGCTCACACTGTCCCAAAATATTACCTTTTCAGTTTTGTTTCTTCTTCACATTTACACCCAGACTCATAATTCTGCTGCAGTGGTTGAATTTAATGGATTTCAGGGAGATCTGCCACTTAGCCTCAGACACCCTTCAGTCAGAATCACAGCTGTAGTAGGAACAGATCTAGATTAAATGATTCAGACTAATTTAGGCTGCAGATGTTTTCTCATAGAAGATTATCTTCTCCTGCCCTGCAGCACCCCAGTAATGCTGGGAATCTACATCAGTATCTTCATCGTACTCGCCAACATCCTCTTCATTTGTGCCATATACTCTTGCATTAAGGTAACAGAACACATTGGGGTAAAAGGACAAAGGCTTTGTTTATTTTATAATTTGCATTCCTTTAAAAATCAAATGCAATCATTTGTGTTTTGCAGCTCTTTCCAGCTGCAATGCAAACTGTTTCAAAGAAGATTGTCCAGTCCCGCACTAACAGCACCTTGGTTGGAGTGTTCTCCATCATCCTCGTCTTCATCTCTGCCTTCATTAATATGGTAAGATTTATACATGTTGTGGTTTTCCAAAACAAAGAGAATGTAATTTTCATTCAGGAAGTGGCTCTGACTGCCTGCTTGTACATTTGAATGTTTGGCTGCAGTTTGCCTGCGACACCACAGACTTGACGGAATGCGTCGCTGAGACGATGAACACGTCTGCAGCCCTGGTGACGCCATGTCTGATCCGCAGCCTGAATGTTTCCATTGAAGGAGGTCTAGAGATCTGCCCAAGCCAAGGTCCTTCCTGTCCCTTTCCTGAGGTGAGATTGCTGTTTGTGTTTCCTGTCTGAATGGTCCCAGTGTGTAGAAAAGGAAAATGTCCTGTGTGCATCAGAACTGCTGTGATCTCCTGTTGCTGATGCGTGTGGTCTCCTGTTGGTGGCAGTATTTCAGCTACAGCGTGCTGCTGACGCTGCTGGCCTGCTCCGTGTTCCTGCAAATCAGCAGCATCGGGAAGCTGGCCCTCATGCTGTTCATCCAGCTCACCTTCCTGCTGCTGGTGGAGTGGCCACAGGTAGCACTATTTGACAACGCAGACCTCTTCGTCACCTCCAACGCCATGTAAGTGCACCAGCATGAAGAGCAAAGGACTATGGGACAGTCCTGTCTCAGGTCTGACTCTCAGTGGATGTTAAATAATATGTTAATGAAATAGACCTAAATTTGCATAAAGAAACACAACATTAGTTTGAAATGTCTTCATTTCTCTAAAGCAGTGAACTTAGGGATCGGGAATTCATTATTTAGCATTGTCTGTAATAGGAGCTCAATAAGATTTGTTTACACCAGAATGATTTAAGCAAACACTGTCAGTAAGTACAAAAATGGCCTGTATTTGAAATGGTAAATGGCCTGTATTTGATATAGCGCCTTCTACAGTCCTGGAACCCCTCAAGGCGCTTTACAACACAATCAGTCATTCACCCATTCACACACACATTCACACACTGGTGGGGATGAGCTACAATGTAGCCACAGCTGCCCTGGGGCGCACTGACAGAGGTGAGGCTGCCGAGCACTGGCGCCACCGGTCCCTCTGACCACCACCAGCAGGCAACGTGGGTTAAGTGTCTTGCCCAAGGACACAACGACAGCGAAAAACTGAGCGGGGCTCAAACCTGCAAACTTCCGATTACGGGGCGAGCACTTAACTCCTTATGCCACCATCGCCCCTAAAAATGATTTCAGCACCCATTTGTCGTGACTCGAGGAAGGTGTTTAACCCAAGACATGCAGAATCGACTCGACACCTCTGGGTAAGTTAAAGAAAAGTTCTTTATTTAAAAACAGGAACAAAAGTTGCACTGGGAAGTCCAGTGGAGGGTGTGCCGTATGGCGTTTGTCCATATAGTAATCCGTGATGTGCGAGGAAGGTGGGGAGCCAAGGTGAACACCGGTGGAGAATGGGCTAGCCGAGGTGGGTGAGGCAGCCGAGAGAATCCAGGCAGGCGCAGTGGAGGTAGATCGGACGTGGTTCAGGTGATCCGGGGTTCGAGCGGCGAGGATAATGAATGGAGTTGAGTTTTGCCTGAACAGAGCAAACAGGGGTTCAAAGGATAATCCAAAAACAAAATCCAAGACAGTCCGAAGTTCAAAATCCAATTAATCCATAAACAAGTTCAAGCGAGCAAACAAGCAAACACGAGTGGCTGGTGCTACCTAAACTGGTGCAGTCATCCGGCGTAGAGTGGTGTCTCCATCCTCCCTTTATACCCAACTTCCTGATTGGAGATTCAGTGCAGCTGCTGCCCCCTCCGCTCTTCACCTGTGGGAAATTGACTCGAAGGTAGTTAGTGAGAGAGGAGCACTCACCTCGGCTCGTGAACATGACCCCCCCAACGAACGGCCCCCGGCTCCCAGCAACGGGCCTGGAAGCTTCAAAGTCGGTGATGAGGGAGGGGTCTTCAAGAAAGGACCGGGGTATCCAAGACCACTCCTCTGGGCCCTACCCCTCCCAATTAACCAGGTACTGCAACCCCCGTCCCCAGGGGCGTGAGTCGAGGATCCGCCGAACCATGTAGACCAGCCCCCCTTGTAGAGCTTGGCAGGAGGAGGCAGGGCTGGTACTGGACACAGGGGGCTGGAGACCACAGGCTTGACCAGAGACACATGGAACACTGGATGGATCTGAAGAGATTGTGGGAGGTCCAGGCATACGGTCGTGGGACTCGGAACAGCCGCCACCCTGAATGGACCAAGGTACCTAGGAGCGAGTTTCTTCGAGGTTGCCTTGAGAGGTATATCCTTGGATGACAGCCAGACCATCTGCCCTGGGGAGTAGGTCGGTGCTGGACGACGATGCAGATCCGCCAGCCGCTGGTTCATTTTGGCGGTACGCTGGAGAGCGGATCTTGTGGCCGCCCATGCATGGCGGGCCCGACGAAGAAACTAAGGCGTGGTGGTTGTGGGACCTGTTTGGAGCGGGAACAAGGAAGGCTGATACCCAAAGAGAGGCCTCAAACGGGGACTGACCTGTGGCGGAGGAGACGTGGCTATTGTGGGCGTACTCCACCCAGGCGAGATGGTCACTCCAGGCAGAGGAGTTGGTGGCACACACACAGCGTAGCATGGCGCCCAGCTCCTGATTCATGCGCTCGCATTGCCCATTGGTTTGGGGGTGGAATCCCGAGGTTAAGGCGATCCAGGCCCCCAGGGCGGTGGCGAACTCCTTCCAGACCTTGGACACAAACTGGGAGCCGCGATCCGAGAGGATCTCCGTCGGGATACCATGGAGCGGAACACATGCTTGATCAGGAGCTGGGCGGTCACAATGGAGGTAGGTAGAGCCTTTAAAGGAACAAGGTGACAGGCCTTGGAGAACCTGTCTACAATGGTCAGTACAGTGTTAAATCCATGGGAGGGATGTAATCCACAAACAAAGTCTATAGTGATGTGTGACCAAGGGCGAGACAGTAAAGGTAGGGAACAAAGCAATCCAGCTGGTGGTTGGTTGGTACCTTTTTGTTGGGCACACACGTGGCATGCTGATACATACTCCTTGACATCTTTGTAGATGGAGGACCACCAGAAGGCGTGCTTGATCAAGACCAAGGTTTGTCCCACACCGGGGTGAATGGAGGATTTCGCAGAGTGAGCCCAGTGGATAACTCTCCCTCGCAGACCCTGGGGAACAAACAGTTTATTGGGTGGGCCATTACCTGGACCGGGGTTGACCTTGAGGGCCTCCAGAACCTGGTCCCTGATCGCCCAAGTCACCCCTGCCACAATGCGGGAAGGAGGTAGGATGGTACCAGGCGCGGATTTGTCCTCCGAAGCATACTGACGTGAAAGAGCGTCTGGCTTTGTGTTCTTTGACCCTGGCCGGTAAGACAATACAAAGTTAAAACGCGAGAAAAACAGAGACCAACGGTATTGCCGAAGATTAAGTTTCTTAGCCTCCTTGAGGTAAATCAGGTTCTTGTGGTCAGTCCAAATAATAAACGGGTGTTCAGCCCCATCCAACCAGTGCCTCTACTCTTCTAGAGCCAGTTTAACGGCCAGTAACTCCCGGTCTCCCATGTCATACCTGCTCTCGGTTGGTGTCAATCGCCGTGAGAAGAAGGCACAAGGGTGGAGCTTGTAGTCTGCAGGGGATACCTGAGAGAGGACCAATCCTACCCCCGTGTCCGAGGCATCCACCTCCACAGTGAACTGCTGCTTGGGGTCAGGCCTGGAGAGTACCGGAGCCTCAGTGAACCTATTCTTGAGCGCCCGGAACGCTCCCTCAGCTTCTGAGGACCAAAAGACAGGTTTAGTGATCGAAGTGAGGGCCGTTAGTGGAGCTGCAGTTTGGCTATAGTTGCGGATGAACCATCTATAAAAGTTGGCGAAGCCCAGAAACCGCTGCAGCTGTTTTCTGGTAGTAGGTTTGGGCCACTCCTTCACCTCTTGCACCTTGTCAGGATCTGCCTTCAATCGTCCGCTCTCTAACACAAAACCCAAAAATTTCACAACTGACACATGAAATTCACACTTCTCTGCTTTTACAAACAGTATGTTCTCCAAAAGCCGTTGGAGCACGGCTCGGACATGCTTTTGGTGCTGGGTGATGGACCTGGAAAAAATTAAAATGTCATCAAATTAGACAGTTACAAAGTGGTTTAAATAGTCACCCAGCACAGAGTTCACCAGTCTCTGGAACACCGCCGGGGCATTGGTGAGCCCAAAAGGCATCACAAGGTATTCATAGTGCCCCAGGGGTGTCTTGAAAGCCACCTTCCACTCGTCCCCTTGGCGAATCCTGACCAAGTGAGAAGCGTTTCGAAGAACTAACCGGGTGAAGATGGTGGCAACTTGGATGGGCTCGAAAGTGAAAGAGAGTAGTGGTGGGGGTACTTGTCCTTGACAGTAATCTGATTGAGACCCCGATAGTCAATGCATGGGTGAAGAGACCCATCTTTCTTGGCGACGAAGAAAAACCCAGCCCCCAGGGGTGAGGTCGATGGTCTGATGGTGCCGTTCGCCAAAGCCTCTGTAATGTAGGTCTGCATGCTATCTTGCTCAGGTTTTGAGAGGCTGTAAAGGCGGCTGGACGGAAGCGGGGCACCCGGTAGCTGGTCGATGCCACAATTGAAGGGGCAATGAGGAGACAGCGTGGCAGCTTGATCCCTGCTGAACACCTGTTGAAGGTCATGATATGCAGGGGGTACCTGGGAGAGATTGGGAGGCTCAGTTGGCATCACGCCGGAGTCCTTATACCCAGAAGGTGCTGAGTTGAGGCAAGTCAGGTGACACTCTGGACTCCAGGTCTCAATTCTGCTGGCTCGCCAGTCCAAAAGCGGGTTGTGTAACTTGAGCCAAGAATGACCTAGCACCACTGGATTCTGCAGAGATGGGAACAAAAATAGTGAGAGCGTCTCTGTGTGGTTACCTGAGACCTGGAGCTGGAGTGGCAGGGTCCTGTGTGTGATGGTCGACAGGACTCTTCCATCCAGCGAGGAAACCGACACTGGCTCGGGAAGAAGCTCAGTTGAAATTCCCCATTCACTGACCAGTCGGGGGTCCACCAGCGACTGCTCGCACCCTGAATCCACAAGGGCAGTAGTCTGGTGGCGTCGACTGTTCCAAGTCACTGAACATGCGATGAGGAACCGTGAGGTTGTTTTACCTGCGTTACTACCCACCAGGACGCCCGTCCTACTGGTGGGCTCCACCTTTTAGCGAGTCCGGGCATGTCTGAACAAAATTTTCGGGGTTTCCACAGTACAGACAGAGGCCTTTACTGATATGCTGTTGCCGTTTCTCCTGAGTCAGGTGGGCACTTCCCAGCTGCATTGGCTCCTCCGATGGCTCCGAAGGAGGAGGTCTAGTGATAGATCGACGATGTGCAGGAGGCGGCGGAAGATCCATTGCTGACGTCCTCTGAAGCTCCCGATGTCTCTTGCCAATGGAAATAGAGAGTGATATTAATCCATCCAGGGTGGATGGCTCGGGGCACAGAGCCAGCTGATTTTTTACTCGGCCACTCAAGGCTTCAATAAAGGCCACCTTTAAGGCTTCGTCATTCCATGATGTCATGGCCGCCAAAGTCCTAAACTCCAATGACAGGTCTGCTACTGTTCTCCGTCCCTGGGAGAGGTGCAAAAGTTTCTTCTGGATGTCAGTTGTGGTCTCAGATCTGCAAAAGTTATTTTAAATTCCTCCAAAAAGTCTGTATAGGAACCTGACAAAAATCCAGCATTCCAGCTCTTAGCCTCTGCCCACCTAAGAGCCTTGCCCCTAAACAGTCCAACGATAATTTTTTTTAGAAGAGTCCGTAATAAAAGGGCTTGGAGAGCGCTCAAATGCTAGGTGGCACAGGAGCACGGGAAGAGTCTGCTCCTGCTGGGACATCCTGGTAGCCAGATCGGCGATTACTGATTCCGCTGGGTTAAGGTTAAGGCTGGATGATTCTGTCATGACTCGAGGAAGGTGATTAACCCAAGACATGCAGAATCGACTCAACACCTCTGGGTAAGTTAAAGAAAAGTTATTTATTTTAAAATGGGAACAAAAGTTGCACTGGGAAGTCCAGTGGAGGGTGGGCCGTATGGCGTTTGTCCATATAGTGATCCGTGATGTGCGAGGAAAGTGGGGATCCAAGGTGAGCACCGGTGGAGAATGGGTTAGCCGAGGTGGGTGAGGCAGTAGAGAGAATCCAGGCAGGGGCAGTGGAGGAAGATGGGACGTGGTTCAGGTGATCCGGGGTTCGAGCGGCGAGGATAATGAATGGAGTGGAGTTTTTCCTGAACAGAGCAAACAAACAGAGGTTCAAAGGATAATCCAAAAACAAAATCCAAGACAGTCCGAAGTTCAAAATCCAATTAATCCATAAACAAGTTCAAGTGAGCAAACGAGCAAACAAACACGAGTGGCTGGGGCTACCTAAACTGGAGCAATCATCCGGCGTAGGGTGGTGTCTCCATCCTCCCTTTATACCCGACTTCCTGATTGGAGATTCAGTGCAGCTGCTGCCCCCTCCGCTCCTCACCTGTGGGAAATTGACTCGAAGGTGGCTAGTGGGAGAGGAACACTCACCTTGGCTCGTGAACATGACACCGTTATTTTAAATATGTAACACAGATTTGTACATTTTATTTACAGTATTCTTGTGTGTTTTTCTCTTTATAGTGATTTAAATGAAACTATTGATCAGTGGTAAGTTGCATTTTTAACATGCTTTCCTATATATATATATATATATATATATATGTATATATATACATATATAAAAAATATATATAAATATATATATATTATATATATATATATATATTTATATATATATAAATAACTATATATATAATATATATGTATATGTATATGTATATATATATATATATATATATATATATATATATATATATATATATATATATATATATATATATATATATATATATATATATATATCAGGTACACCTGTGCTGTAAATAAATAACCCTGATTATTAGCTTAATTTATAATCAGAACAATGATTTTTGTTTATTTAGGTTCGGTTTCAATGAAACTACAAGCCAGTGGTAAGGTGTTTCACTTTTATTCACACTTAAGTGGGTTTTTTTTACGTTTCTACATTTGTTTTTTGCTTTTCTGTTCATGAAAATCCCCTCCAACGGTTTCCCCTGTGAATGTAAAAGTGATTTAATTGAGTGTGCCTTTATTTAGACCTCTCTCCGATTCCTTCACAGCGCATTTGTTGTGACCAAAGTGTCTCTGCGGGTCATGACTCCAGTGATCCTCACCGTCTTCGTCCTTGCGCTGTACCTGCATGCACAGCAGGTGGAATCTACGGCACGCCTGGACTTCCTCTGGAAACTACAGGTACAGATGTTTCCGACCACACTCTGGGTTTAATCACACCCTCTCACAGTAATATGACATGAGTATTGTCCTCACAAGGCTGGTGATATCTAAAAATTAGCCCTCTGTCCCAGGCCACTGAGGAGAAGGAGGAGATGGAGGAGTTGCAGGCCTACAACCGTCGCCTCCTCCATAACATTCTTCCTAAAGACGTAGCTGCTCACTTCTTAGCTCGTGAGCGGCGTAACGACGAGCTGTACTACCAGTCCTGTGAGTGTGTGGCCGTCATGTTTGCCTCCATCAGCAACTTCTCCGAGTTCTACGTGGAGCTGGAGGCTAACAACGAGGGAGTGGAGTGTCTCCGGCTGCTCAACGAGATCATCGCAGACTTTGACGAAGTAAAACAAAATGACCTTTTCTAATTTTAGCACAATATCTGAGCTCTCTGCTTCATCAAGCATCTGTTCACCCCTCAGATCATCAGCGAAGAGAAGTACAGGCAGCTAGAGAAGATCAAGACCATCGGTTCCACCTACATGGCTGCCTCTGGTCTCAACGACTCCACTTACGACAAAGAGGGACGCACTCATATCACTGCACTAGCTGACTACTCCATGAGACTGAGAGAGCAGATGAAATACATCAACGAGCATTCATTCAACAACTTCCAGATGAAGATAGGTGGGGAAAGCCACCACTGATAAACCTCATAAGTTGGTTCCCTGCAGCTCTGAGTCTAAATGCAGCTGATTTCTGTGTTGAACAGGTCTGAACATCGGGCCAGTGGTAGCAGGGGTCATTGGAGCACGAAAGCCTCAGTATGATATTTGGGGGAACACAGTTAATGTGGCCAGTCGCATGGACAGCACAGGTGTACCTGATCGTATACAGGTAGGCTTCAGGAAACAAGCACACAAATTCTTTCAGAATGGGTTTTCATAGGAGTAGAAAAGCATGTAAATGTTTATGCGTGTATTATTTATTAGAGTAACTTAAATCAGACATGATGAATGCATAAAATATAAACTTCTTTCCACTAGTCTGATTGTTCAACAGGTAAAACAACTATTTGTCATAAATATGACATTAAGCTGATATTGTGCAACCCGACAAAGCTCAAGCTATGGTATATCACACAAAAATAGATGATAAATTCATGCATTTAACTTTTTTCTTTGTTCTAAAAACTAATAAATATTGCATTTAGATGAAAAACTCAAATGGTACTAAAATCAAATGAAAAGACATTAAAATTACATTCATATTTTACCTTACTGCACACAAATAGACTGTCTAGTGGGCGCAGAAGAGTTGGTTTGTCTTATTCAGACATAAAAATAACCACTTTGTATGGCCAAACAGACTCACAAGGTATGGCTTTTAACCTCAGAAATAAGAGGTGGAAAGAGTACTAAAGTGTCCTACTTAAGTACGAGTACCAATCAATCAATCAATCAATCAATCAATCAATCATCAATCAATCAATCAATCAATCAATCAATCAAAGCTTTATTTATAAAGCGCCTTCCGCAACCCTGTCAGGAAGCCCAAGGCGCTGAACATGGTACAGTACAAAGTTAAATAAAGTGAATAAATCAGAAAATAAAAGCAATTCAAATTACAAATTACAAAAAAAGGTGAAACATTCTAGTAGAAGACAAATGTGTAAAACAAGGGAAAAAGTGAACCAATGAAAACTGTGAGATAAAATCAACATAAAAGAGGGCCAAATTCAAACATGTTCAGGAAACGCCAAGCGGAGGAGGTGGGTTTTTAGGCGACTCTTGAAGACTGACAGAGATGGGGACAGCCTAACTGGGGGTGGCAACTGGTTCCATAGTGACGGTGCTAGGACTGAGAAAGCCCGGTCCCCACGAATACGACACCTAGAACAAGGGACAACGAGAAGGCCTTGGTCAGAGGAGCGCAGAGCGCGTGATAGGGAATGTTTGTTCAGGAGCGTGGCCAGATAAGGGGGAGCACCACCCTGGAAGAAATTAAAAACAAAGACGAGGAGTCTGAAGTTTGAGCGATAGCAAACCGGAAGCCAGTGCAGGGAGGCCAGAACCGGACTGATGTGGTCCCGTTTCCTGGTCCCAGTCAGGAACCTGGCTGCGCTGTTCTGCACAACCTGTAGGCGACGCCATGATGACTGACACAACCCTGCTTATAGAGAGCTGCAGTAATCAAGCCTAGAAATTACAAAAGCATGCATTACCCGCTCCAGGTGGGCTCTCGACAGCATGGGCTTGATTTTTGCAAGGCGTCTCAGGTGAAAGAAACTGGACCAATACTTTAATAATTTTTATTCAAGTACAAATAAAAGTACTTGCCTACATTTTTACTTAAGCAAAGTAAAAAGTATCATAAATAAAATGTACTCAAAGTAAAAGTTAGTTACATTTTTGTGAGTGTAAGGAAGGCTACATCTATGTAGTGCAAAATCACAACGCCACTTCACAATTCACTCGTGTGCACACACACACACACACACACACACACACACACACACACACACACACACACACACACAGCATCATGTTAGAATAATTTGAATGACTAATTTAACTACATTGAACTACTTTTGTAATACTCTAATCTCTTATTCTGGAGTAAAATAAAGAAACAAGCTAAATCATCACATATCTGTGGCATCAAGATGCATCTTCTGAGTTCAATCACAAGGATGGAGCACAATATTTACAACTGAAACAGTATCAGGATGTTTTAACTCACAGAGGCCTGCAGGTCTTCTGTTTTATGAGCAAAGCGCTGGAAATCCACAAGCACTAAACGTTATTTTGCCGCTTCCGTGCGGAGCGGTGGGGAAACACATTTCAAACACAGAACTGTGTCTGGCTACCGAACCGAGCAGAATTCTGATGACATCACACTGGTGCACGAAGGTGCAGGTTCCAACCCACAGGAGAGGAGGGAGAGAGGAGGTAAACAGCGAGTGGATCACAGGGACTGAACTGATGTTTTTGAACAAAACTGCGGTAAAAATGGCTGTTTGTCCTCATTATCAAACGTACCCCCCCACCCCACAGGTAAGATGTGGTCGCGGCACTCTTGCAGGTAATATTTTTAATTTATTAAGCCTACAGTTTATTTTTACTCAGTAACGGATATGATTTATAATGTAGTGAATTACAATTCTTTTTTAAAAACGTACTCAAGTCAACGTAAAAGTACAGATTTTAAAAATGACTTAAAAAGTATAAATACACAACAAAGCTACTCAATTACAGTAATGTGAGTAAATGTAATTAGTTATTTTCCACCTCTGTCAGAAATAATGGAGGACTTGTCACCCTCAAGCTCGCACATGTCGGTCAAATAGAAACAGTCAGGCTGAAGCACAACAAACAACAGCTTTAAATCTGAAAGTGCATTCCTCAAATTCACAAGAGCTGAAGAAAACTGTAACCTTTTGCCGTTTAACTGAAACACTTGCTGGATTCATTCAGCCTCGTGTTTAAAGGTAACGTAAGTCCTCGGCACACAAAAGAAGACCTGAGATAAAACAGTAAAAATACATAAAAGTGTGCCGCCACTGGCATCACACACACACTCACCCGTGCCTGTGTGAATCCTCCCCCAGGTGACCACAGACCTCCACCAGGTGCTTTCAAACAAAGGCTACATTCTGGAGTGTCGTGGAGTTGTTAAGGTCAAAGGTAAAGGGGAGATGACCACCTACTTCCTGAACGATGGGCCACCCAACAGTTAGCAGCCAGGGCAGCGGCTGACGTCGGGAGGATCCCCGCTGGAAGGACACAGCACCACTGAGCGAGCGCTCCCAGTGCCAGCCCACCGCTAAGAACTACAATCGCCATCACTTGAATCCCAAGCAAAGAGGGAAACAGGAACTTTTTGGACTCCAGAAAAAGGAAAGTGTTCTCACTGAGAGGAGAAACCTCGTGTCTGACGGCCGTTTTTGGCCGCGGTCAGACGTGGAAGGACGCGTGTTTTTCTCATGTCTAGCCTCTCTCTCAGGCTTCTTGAAAGATGCAAAGTCTGTTTATTTAAAAACAACGCCTTTTAGCCTGTGTTGAAAGAAGATTAATGCTGTACATAAGGCTACTTCCTCATTTTAATTTGTGTTCTCTTCATTTTGTTTCAAATTTTTTCAGTCATTTTGATTTCACATGGATTATGAACAGGTACTCATGCTTTGTTCTGCATTAATTATTTATTTCAATCTCGTTGTTTTGTGCTAAAGGTCCTTTATGAAAACGTGTGAACACATACGTGCACAAATATCCAGTTTATTACACGTTTATAAGTGTGTATGTACATGCATATTTGTGTGTGTATGACTATATGTATAAACTGAGGAGGAATATATTGACCAAAGACTAAAGTATTTACTAAAAGCAAGGCCCGACATGTTGCCATGTCCTCGCAGAAGTCAGCAAATATCGCCACCTCTAGATCCAGGCAGAGGGTCTGCCTTTTAATTTACTGTTTTTGCCCAAACGCCGGCAGTGAAGGTTCTCCATCACTTCCATGAAATATGTAGATTTATTTATTTTATTTCATTTAGGCAGCAGAGAGCAGATTTTTAACTCTGAATTATAAAGCTCCCCGTTATCCTTTTACCAGATGAAATAATAAATAAAAACACATGACTAAAGATGACCAAGTATGTTCTTAGAGGGTTATTACTGAGATTTATAGTTTTACCTGTGAGGAGATGGATCTTCATCCTCATACCTGAGAGGCCGAGCCGCCAGCGGGGCGCTGGTGTCGGCCGTCTCATCGCCGACTGCATCTTTTCAGAAAGGTACTTTTTATTTTTCCGTGCAGGTGGAAATGAGGGAACATTGGTGGGTTGTTCCAGCGCGTGCGCGCGGGGGGGGGGGGGGGGGGGGGGGGGGTTCAATGCAGTCGCATCACAGCCGGATTCTTCTGTGAAGAGGAAGTAGATGAAGGAAAGAGGAATATCTATTGATTTTGACTGAATACTGTGCTTTGTGATCCTGAAGGGGCATAACTATTTTCACTGTGAGGTTTTTATGATACAACAAAACTGCTTTCTTGCCAAACATAACTGCTTTTGAGCATGTCTCAGTGTGGTTTCTTGTTTTCCTTTTTCTTTTTCGGTTTGTTTCAGTGTTGGGTATCTTGTGTAAATTCTGTACCCATCATTTGTATATTAGTATTATTATTATTAATATTATGATTATTATTATTGATTCTGGTTAATTATTATGCTTAACATGATGACTCCATTCCGTTGGAAAAGGATAAAAGAACAGCACGCTTTGTTGAAAAAAGGCCAGTTTCGAAGGTCGAGCTCGCCGGTACCAACTGATCGACTGATTGGTTCTGGTCACAACAAAAGCATTAAACTCAGATAAGTGATCCACTTTTATTTAAGCACCTGCAGCAGTAACTCTCAAGGACAAGGCGGGATACGCAGGTCTACGTTTTCTCACCTGCCTCCTAATTATTCGTTTAGCTAAAGTATTGCCTTAAGTTAAAAGCCCGGACATGAATAGGATGTGTGCCTTCAGGTAGAAGAAGAAGGCCTGTCGACAGTAGATTTCAGGTATTACTGTTGTGGTGATCGCTCTTTCTGACTGAGGGGAATCAGCTCTTCTCTCACACTCTCCCTGGCAGAGGACAGCAGATCACGTTGGTACCGAGGCCAGCCGGCTACTGGTCTCTCCTGGGCAGTGGCGTGTGAGCTCGGAGGTGTGGTGGGAGCACTAGAGGACAGTGATCAGCAGCTATCACCAGCTGTGACCAATGAGGAGTGATTCACAGAAACAAAAGTTTATAGAATGGACATGAGTTTATTAAGATGTTCATTGTATGTATTCTATTTCTACTGGCTGTCCATGGACTTGTGTTGATTGTTAAATCTTGGGATGCTTTTTTAAATTTATTTGGTGGATGGGTGGGCGGGGGGGCTCTTCCGATACTACTGAACCTGTTTAGCTCAGGCCTGATTAATCCTTTATATTTTCTTTTGATTTGCCCGAGTTGGAGGAGGAGTGGTGAGGGGGATGGTTTTGCTACGATGAAGGTCAGGAGGAGTAGAGGTCTACGACAACGAGAAAAATAACATTACCCCTTGACGAAAAAAATAAAACTTAAAAAAGTCTCTTTACAGTGTTGTTTAATGCGCCTAGATCCTGTCTATGTGGAAACAGCTCACTCATGTGAGTAGCTCCAGCTCACTATTTCTAATTGGAGTCACCTCATACTTTTCTACCCACGTCTCATTTATTTATTAAAACGTTTAGAATTAACACAGTGAAAACAGCGGGGGCATTAAATCTTTACCAAAACCAAATAAGAACTTTTTGAGATATTTGGGGGTAAATTTTCTAAACTTCCACTGATTGCAAACACTAAAACACACGTGCTCATACGCACACACACACACACACACACACACACACACACACACACACTCATACGCACGCACGCACACACACCCACACACATACACACACTCATACGCACACCCACACACATACACTCATACGCACACACACACACACACACACACACACACATACAAATCCACGCACTCCCACACATACAAATGCACACACTCATACACCCATACACACACACACACACACACACACACACACATGCACACACATTCATACACACATACATGCATGCATACACGCACACACACACACACACACACACACATGCATGCACGCACACATACACACATGCACACACATTCACGCACAAATACACACAAACACACACATGCTCACACACACGTGCACGCATGTACACATGTACACACACATGCACACATGCGCTCATATACACACACATACAAATGCAAGCACACACACATGCACGCACAAACACACATGCACGTACACACACATGCACTCACACACACACACACACACACACACACACACACACACACACACACACACACACACACACACACACACACACACACACACACACACACACACACAAATGCATGCACACAGCTAAATAAAAAGAGAGAAAACAGTCATTGAAATTATTTCAATCCCACTAGGATTTTCAGAATGGCGTGCAGCTGTCACTAGGCTTAATTTAAAATAATTTTGTTCATGCTGCTCTAGCTCAAACCTGGCCAATAGGAAAAAAGTCAGCATTATATTTTAGGATCTCCTGAAACAACCATCACACACAGTCTTGTGTTGGTGATGAAACAGAAATGGTTATTCACTAATTCCAGAACATGTGGAGGAGAATCCAGAATATAGGATTAACTGAGCTGCACTTGTGGTCCCTAAAGTTAGCTTTGGAAGTTCCAAAATACTAAATTAAACTGTTCTTTCTTTCTTAGAGTTCAAATGTCCCTGACAGATGAATTTCTTGTTCTTTAGTGAACCCAACTTCCCACACTGACTAGATGATGTAGTTTACCAGGTTCCCTCTAGAGGGCTGTAGAGGGTCAGCTTCATTCCAGGGACTCTCAGATACTCGAAGCAAAGGTCACAATGTGCATTAGTCACTTTATTTTGAAAAACACCCGTAAAAGATGTTTCTTAATACAGCTCTGTTAAAGAAACCGATCTCCAGATGAGTAAAGCATAATATCAACCACATAAAACACTGATGCTATCTTCTGTGTTTAACTGAGGAAGAGAAGTGATGATGGAGATCAGAACAGGCTGAAGTCCCGGTCTGCACGCAACATTTCATTAACAAACCTGTGAAAGAAACAAGAGGTTTACATTCAGAGAGCGCTGGGTGATAGGGGAGAACTAAATGTTGATGCTACCCACTTGGTCATCTCACTGAGCTGTCGAGGAAACCTCCTGACTTGTGTCCAGGGCTCCGGACGATCAGACACCATCCAGCCATACTGCTGGTTGTCTGTCAGAGGCGTTATGTACAGCTGCTTAGGAGCTGGGGGAGAGAGGAGGGGTTGCTGTAGCTAATTCTTTCATTAAGGTTGACTCAGAATTAAGACTCACATGTAGTTGTTTGGGATTGTTCGACCATTTCTCTGTATTTCTTGTAGCTCCTGTGCTGCGTGTCAGAGCTGAAGGGAAGACACTGAGGGGACACTTTGGATGTGTCTGCACAGCTGAGGGGTCCTTGAGGTCCCTGCAGCCACGAGGACAATCCTTCACTGATGCTCACATCTGTATTTGCAGATTAGTGATTATTACGAGAATCTTATTAAAACAAAAATAATCTAAAAACACACATTTAAAATAAATGATACAAACTCTTTAAAATAATCAGCAGAAGGCAAGGCTGAGTTACAAGCATCTGTTTTAGCTTTTACTGTTTCGTGGAGTTCAAAACAAAAGTTTAAAACTCTAATCAAACATCAAGAAGGCTGTTTTCTTTGTGGTTCCGCTAACTTGAGGCTAGGCTAGCTCAGACTAACGTCTCCTACCCCGAGAAGCTCTCCACTGATTTATCATTTTATCTCCTATTGGGTTTTGATAACCCAGGTGTGTCAAACCGAAGAAGGTCATCAGGGTGCCGAGACTTGTTTATCCGGTCGAAGAAACACAGCACACAAAGACAAGCCTTTGAACAACATTCGACTTTCATTTGTTTACATGTTACCCTGGGAACCTCGCAGGGGCAGGGCGTGTTTCTGCTTTCTTGCTCAAACAGGGAAAGCAGGCGGTAAGTAGCTTTCACTTCTCAAAAAGGAAACTTGTGTTGTGCAGTGCCTCCTTTTCTAAATAGGTTTTGTAAACAAATGGGGCAACGAAAGAAGAAAAACAATAAGAATTCACATTCACATTAGAGGAAAATATGATGCAGAAACACACCAGATTACGCTGCATGAGAAAAGCCAGCAACAACTCTGGTCGTTTGAAAATGCTACATTATCTCTCAGCTTTAAAATATGCTGTAGAAAATAAAAGACTTGATTTTATCAAATATATTGAAAAATGTCTAGATGCCATTTCTGCTGAGCCGTCATCTTGCAGAGTCAGGAAGCAGTTTGGGTTAGATGATTTACCAGATGACGAGGAACATTAAAGCTTCCTGCTTCTGAACAAGCTTCACATCCTGTAGTCTAGTCAGGAAGGGCAGATCTCGACTGACAGCTTTCATTTGTGGTTCTTTTTGCAGCAACGTGGGATCTGATGTAAAAGTGGTGGGAGTATACATGTCGATGGTGGGAGCTCAAGACAAGTGCACAGAGAAGAAAAGCAAAGCATCAGTCAAATGAGAGCTTGAAAAACCGGAACTGAAGTGAAACCCAGAATTGAGAACGCATGACCCGCCGTTTAACCACAGCGACATCCTGAGTCAGATGGTTTTATTAGTCATGTGTCATTTGTTCTTTTCTTTTTAGCGGATGAACAACAAAGCTGCACCTCAGCAGCTGGTCTGCGTATCGCAAAGGAACCAGACGGCCCACATGGAGGGAAAAAGCAGAGAGATGTTTTTATGACCCTCAACAAACAGCAGTAGGTATCTTTTTTTTCAGCTTTTTTAGCTTAGACACACACAACAGGTGATTTAGAACTTATGGCTCATTTATTTTATACAGAAACAACAATCACAAGTTTCTATTTGTGTGTCTTCATTAGACTGAGCTGCAGCGTTAGAAATAAATACTTTTATACTGAGTGAACAGCAAACTATCTGTACACACAACGACCTCCTCATTCTGATGTGGCCGTTTTCCCAGTGTCGTGTAGGCTGGCACCATCCTGTCACCATGATGCTTTCAGGCTGTTTTCGAGTGACACGTCCAGTAAAAGGAGCAGTTTTCTGTGTCCTGGGTTTGTGTTTCCTTCTACACTGCTACATCAGCTACGTGGCCTCCCCACTGTCACCACTACTCCCAGTGGGGAGTGTGGAGAGGCCCAACACATCCAGTTCCAGCTGCCCTCTTGGATTTTACAGTAAAGAGGAGCTAAAGCCTCGCCTCCAGAGGCCTCTCCAGGACCCCGGAGCGCCAGGTGCACACGGCAAACCCTTCTTGTCAGGTTTGATGACTCAGCAAGAACAACAAGAGAACCAAAAAGGATTTAACAAAAACCAGTTCAACCAGTTTGCCAGTGATCGCATTTCTCTGCACCGGGACCTGGGTAAAGACACGCGGCACCCAGAGTGAGTGGACCGCCTGAAAAGTGCAGAATATTCCTGCTGAATGCCGGTGAGGAGGTGATCACTTTCAGTTTGTCTCTGACAGCTGCGTGAAGCAGAAGTTCTGGCGATGTCCCGGTCTCCCCAACACTAGTGTGATTATAGTGTTTCACAACGAGGCATGGTCCACTCTGCTCAGGACGGTCTACAGCGTCCTACACACATCTCCTGCTGCTCTGCTCACAGAGATTATCTTGGTAGATGACGCCAGCACCGATGGTGAGAGCTCCCCAATAAACATCTCTCATCAGGACCGGCGGTCAGAACTGCCTCCAACATCCTCAGCAATCAGATCAACCTGGAGAAGATACAGCTGGACCTTGTTTATCATCTTTCATTAGCACGACTGGTAACTTATTCACTCCTGTTTTCAGATCACTTGAAGGCTGCCCTGGAGGAACATGTGGAGAAGCTGCAGATTGTGCGTGTTTTACGTCAGAGGGAGAGAAAAGGCCTGATCACAGCCCGGCTGATGGGGGCGCAGGCCGCTCGAGGGGAGGTCCTCACCTTCCTGGACTCCCACTGTATGTGGAACCCTTTCATTACATGCAGATGATAGTTTAGTAGATCAGTGTCTTACATATTGCTTATTTGTCATGTATAATTTTTACTAAACAAACAAGTTAGCATGATTAAAACTGTTTTCAAGCCTCTCTTTAACCTATTTGTCGTGTTTTTACACGTAGGTGAATGTTTCGATGGATGGCTGGAGCCTCTTCTGGCTCGGATTGCAGAGCAACCTTCTGCTGTGGTGAGCCCCAAAATCAACATCATCGATCGGAACAATCTGTGGGTTCACAAACCAGTTCCTAGACCTCAGCGTTACAGCCGTGGGAACTTTGACTGGAGGCTGAAGTTTGGGTGGGAGGCTGTTCCAGAAGAGGAGCTGAAGCGCCGAAAGAACGAGACGTATCCCATCAGGTCTGACTCACGCAAATACGTACAGAAATCAAGGCTTCTTTACTTTAATCTCATTTTAAAATATAGATAATGACATTTACTCAAGGTTGCTATCAAATGCAGCTAGCAAAGAATAAAGATCAGGTTTGTAAAGATTTAAACCATTTAGCATCATTTTCAGCTGCAGTTTTATAATTTCCACAAAATCATATAAGTTTTGTTGTAAAGATCACGTCAGACTAATTTTACAGAACTCCTACCTTTGCTGGAGGCCTGTTTGCAGTTTCTAAGTCGTACTTTGAGCATATTGGCTCCTATGATGACCAGATGGAGTTCTGGGGAGGAGAGAACTTGGAGATGTCTTTCAGGGTAATAAAACGTTCTGCTTGTGTTTTTATGTCACTAACAAATACTTTTCCGCTGCAGCTTTACCTTATGATGTATGCATCTGCAGGTCTGGCAATGTGGAGGTCTTCTAGAGATCATTCCCTGTTCTGTTGTGGGGCATATATTTCGTAAAAAAAGCCCTCACACCTTCCCAAACGGCAGCTCCGTCATCACCCGAAACCTGGTGCGCCTGGCTGAGGTCTGGATGGACGACTACAAAGAGATCTTCTATCGCTTAAACAGAGTCGCTGCTTCCATTTTTAAAATGGTCCGGAACAGTTTACAGTTCTCTAAAAGCCATGCTGACGACATCAACTCATGTTATTCTTTTCCTCCCAGAATTCCTTTGGGGATGTTTCTGAACGTCGTCAGCTCAGAGAGAAGTTAAGGTGCAAAAACTTCTCTTGGTACCTAAATAGTGTTTACCCAGAAACATATGTCCCTGACATTCGGCCCACGATGTACGGGCAGGTAAACTATATTTAATTCATCTGCATTTGCAAGTGTTTAAATAATCTGAAAGGATTTAAATGAAATTGACTTGATAGTTATTTCTCATTTAACGACATAAAGTTGGAAAACTCTGGCTGGCAGTGCCAACTGGATGTGAAAAAGACAAAAAAGCACTGGGAGCCTGGTCAGATGGTCACATGCAACAACCGAATTGAAGCACAGGTATGAATTATTTTTTAAATTGAAATATTTTTGAACTGATTTGCATCACAGCATGTCCCTATTAAAGAAACAACAGATATAACCTGATATGCATCTTACACGGAGCAAAGCCAAAAACTCTATCTTCTCATGCTCTAACTTTGTGTTGTTAAATCCCACCAAAACCTGTTTAATCCCACGTGATCAGCCGTTAACCACACCCAAACATTTAGTCCATTCAGCTGTTCTCAGCCAGGTGACCGGAGGTAACATAAAAACACAGCAGCTGTCTTTGATCTGCTGTTCTGACACAAAAATATCCTACTGTCAACTCAGATTCCTGCTAAAATAAACACGTTTTAAATGTGTGGTTGGATTTCATCTAATGTCATTACTGTCTTCTCTATTTAACAGTACAGATCAAATGCATTCTTTTAAAACTAACTGACTAAGAACATGATCCTGAATGCATTTTGATCAGGCCGATAAACTGGCTTTTTATCAGATCTGTGATTTTAAAATTATCAGCTCATGAGTTCGAGAACTATTCATTTCTTTGCAGACATCCTGCTGTCCTGGATTCTTCACTTTGATCCAAAAACAAAGAAATGAGACATCTAACCATTTAAAGCTTGGAATGTTTAATAATAATAAAAATCTAGTGGTGTATAATTATGTAATAACTAAATAAATTCTATTTTAATGTATTTAATGATTATATAATAATAATAAAGAAAATAAATGGCCCTTGCCACTTGCAAATCGTCCACTAGAGGGCAGTAGACACATATAGGCCTGGATATGGCAGGTTTACAAAAAAAGTACTAATCCTAATACTTAATCTAGACATGCTGCAGAAGAGATTTGAAGCAAATTTGGGACCTTCTGCTGACAAGCTGTAATAGTTCAGGATCAGCCTTTAGAAATATAAAACTTACTAGAAAACTGTTAAATGACACAACTTTTCCATTTTAAAACTGTGATTCCAGTATTACGAGTACACCTCCAAGCAGGAGATACGGCTCAGCTTTGGCATCAAGTTGTGCTTACACGCTGATCCAGGGAAAGCTTCTGTGTGTCTTGAATGGTGCCATCCGAAGGAAAAGGCAGCACCAGAGCAAGCTTGGATCTTTACAGAGGTACGGCTCGTACTTCCTCGTCATCCTAACCTTTGCTGCAGATCAGATTACAACAGTATGAAAGGCTTCCTCATTCTTGTCTCTTCCTAGCTCTAAACCTTTGAACCTTTGAAACACAACACGGTGATGTTTTCACATTCTACGTTGGTGTTTGCAGACAAACCAAGTGATGAACCCCTCATCAGGCAAGTGTTTGGCAGCAGCAGGTGGAAACGTGATTCTGACCAGCTGCAAATCTGCTGAAGATAGTCAGAAATGGGCCTTCATCTGAAAGAAACCATGGATTGGATGACACCACTCACAGGCTGTAAAACAGACACCGGCACTTGTAAAGTCCTACTAAAGAAGCTGAAAAAAAATTGACCCCCCCCCCCCCACACCTTTTTTTTTAAATTGGTTAACATCAGACATGTCTCTGGTTTTCTTTTATCTAGGCAACACACTCTTTGTTTCCCAGGCTTTCCTCTGTGGCTCGGACAGGACATTCTGCCTTTTTAAACAATACTAAGATGGTAATTCATAGCTTTATTTGTTTCTGGTTAATTCCTCACATAACTTCAACTGGACTTTGACAATCATTTGCACAGAACGATCCTTGTCTCTTCAGTTTTGTAAAAGGAAGTAATCGCGCAAAAAGGAAGTATTGTTGTTTAACTTGTTGCAAAAGTTCTTTGTTAATTGGTGTTTGTGATATTGTAAAATATTTTTAACTGACATCAAACAATGGAAGGCGTTGGTGCTTTCCTCCCGTTACTTCTTAGATTCTATCAATTGTAAATAATATATTGAATATTTGCATAATAATATTTATAAAATAGTGTTAGAATGACTGTTTACTTGAATATATTAACCCTGCAAAAAGTTTTGATTGCATTGTGTGTGTGTGTGTGTGTGTGTGTGTTTTCTTGTACTAACTGCATACTGAGGACCATTTTTACCATTTTCCTACAATGTGAGGATATTTTTCAATGTGAGGACATTGTTTTGGTCCTCACTTTTTTTATAAGCTTACCAGTTGGTTTTAGAGGTATGGTGTGAATTAAGTTTTAGTTAAAGTTAGCGTTAGGACTGGATCAGCATTAGTTATGGTTAGGGTAAAGGTGTGGGTTAGGCATAGTGGAGTCACAGAAAATGAATGGAAGTCATTGGAGGATCCTCACTATGATAGAAAGACAGACATGTGTGTTTGTGCTCGTGTGCGCGTGTTCTCCAAGTATGCATTTGGGGACATTTACCATGAAAATAAAGGTAGAAAATAGAAAACTGGGTTCAGTTTGAATGAATGAATGAATGAATGAATGAATGAAACTGTAGTTTTATGCTAATTTTAAACATTAATAAAGTCTGATTAGATCCACTGGAAGCAACAGAAATGAAGTGAGTCTGAGGCCATGAAAACAGGAGCGAGCATGTGCTCCTGTGGGAGGGGCGGGGCTTACCCAGCTAGGCCCCGCCCTTCACTCGCAGTCAGTGTGGTGACGTCACTCTGTTATGTAGTGATGGGATCTCGAGCGAGCGCTGGTGAGTTCCTTTTAAACCAATAAAATTTCTCATTTTTGCCTTGTCACTTCAACAGGGGAGTGGGCAGAACACACACACCCGTCGCCGGGCTGTGGCTGCAGTGTGTTTGTTTAAAGGCTGCATTCCGTTTCTGTGTGTTCAGGAATTGCTCAGCAGGTTATCATCTTCTTAACAAGCCCGTAAGTAGCTGCGCTCTTCGCGCTGCTCCTGTAACTTTCTGCTGGGAAGGCGTTAGCTTCATGAGCGCTAGAAGCTGTTAGCTTGCTATAAGCGTCATTTTTGGGGCTGTTTTACAGCTGATCTTATCACCGGTCACAGGGCGGATTAAAGCTCTCAGTTAGCAGCAAGCTAGCTGCATTTGTTAAAAACATCCCCTCTGCCTGGTCCACTCAGGGTTAGCCTCTGAATCCGGGATTTGGAGACGATTTGCCGTCTGTGTCAGACAAATTTGGGAGTTTTGACTTTAATCCAAGAGCAGCGTGTTGATGGTAAACAGCAGGTATGCACATCAACAGGCAGAGATGTTGAGGGTTTCTTTTATCACACATGTACTAAAAAGTAAATGAGCATATTACTCATATTCTTGTGCCAGATTATCCTAATATGCTTCATTTAGCCTCTGAATTTTGATATGTTTGTAATTACCTCACGTGGTTTAGCCTGGCTGTTTAAGCCTTTGTATGCATAGATGATGGACATACTTTATCTTTCACTTCCTACAGTTTCAGGCATTCACTGGTTTTCAGTCTTCATCTAAAGCCGCACTAACAATACAAAAACATCACAGAAAGAAGATCAAATAGAGCGGTCAAACCTTTGCTTGTCTCCTCTGAAGATCAGAGATGTTTTAATGATGATTTCAGCTTTTATTCTGGTCTGATCGCAGCACAGCTTGTTATTCATGAATTCATACAGATGATAGAGATGGTTAATCTTTTGTTCTGAGGGTTTATGTTCAGTAAGACATATTCTTCTGCACTGTAATTGATGATTAAATTACTTGTTTACGATGACTTACCGATGATTCCATATTTATTTAGCTCTTTTCAGGTAGCCAGTGTTTAGTGAGAGGCCATTAAAACTAGGGATGTCCCGTTCCGACATGGAAAGTAATTCAACATCGTCCCAAAAACAGTGTATCGGATTTAATCGGACTGCATCAAAAATCCTCTATACAAGCAGTCTGTTAAGGTTCACATTTTTGCTGCCAATGGTTAAAAAAAAATGTCATTTTTTTCGTACTTACTGTTATTGGCTCTTGTTCACTTCACCCCACATCACCCTGCTTCTCCTCCAGCTTCACTGGCTTCCAGTCAACTTCAGGGTTCATTTCAAGATCCTGGTTCTGGTCTATAGGGCCTTACATGGACAAGCACCATCTTACATTGGTGATCTTCTTAGTCCCTACACCCCTAGCAGGTCCCTGAGGTCCAGTGATCAAAGCCTACTGGTTGTGCAGCACCAGGCTAAAGATCAAAGGTGACAGATCATTTGCTGCTGTGGCCCCCAGACTCTGGACCTCTCTCCCCCTGAGCCTGAGATCAGTGGACTCAGTGGTCTCCTTTAAAAAGTAGCTGAAGACTCACTTGTTCAAGCTGGCTTTTGTATGACCTTCTTCACCACTCTCTCTTTATTCTGCTCTTCCCACCTGTTCCACCTTCCTCAGGATCCACTGATTTCCCTCTTTCCTACTCACTCTCTCTCTTTCTTAACATTTTTTAAATCACAATTGTCTATTTTTGCTCATTTTAATATATTTTTAAACATTTTCTAAATGCTTTTTTATATTTTTACATTTTTTGTTTTTGTGAAGCGCCTCGTGATTTTTATCTTGAGAGGCGCTATAGAAATGATATTTTCTTCTTCTTCTTCTTGTTCTCTGATTGAGTAATATCACTTGATCAAACCCTTCACACATTCCACGCTACGAAATAGTATGATTTGTGCTGATATCTTATCGTAAGTGAAAAAGTTGGATCGGGACATCCCTGATTAAAACGTGTTGCAGGGTTTTAGACATCAGACGTTTTCTTATTGCAGCTCCAAGAAACAACTTACTGGAAGTCAGTTTACAGAAACTAGCCCTAAAACATTCCTCATGATCTCCAAGGTTTGGGCTTTTCAGATGTGTTTTTTCTGTCTTCACACTCGTTCTTTATTTTCTCCACTGTTAAAGACATAAAAATCGCCTTATTAAAAATCTTATATTTTGTATAAAATAATCTTAGTTGATTTTTTTTCACTGTGAGGCTGAGATTGATCAGTTTCTCCTGGATGCAGGAAACATCTTTGTATGGACCAAATTGAAGCTGAGGCAGGAAAATGCAAGAATGCAACCAATAAGGGGTTTGGGGGTAAAAAGCTCAAAAAAGGAGATTTTCTATGATATGGCCCCTTTAAAATAATACGGTTTCTTGATTAGCCTTCTCTTAACTCTGAGGAACTTTATTCCCAACCATAAATCACTGATTGCACATTTGGATTAAAAATTAATAATTAGCGAAAGCCCCAGTGCTCTCTCACTTTAGCGCCTCTAGTTAATTTTGTCAGTTAAATTCCCACCAAATCACAATAACGAGGAGCTTACTGGTGTTTGCTTTTCACGCTTCAGATGGTTTCTTACTGAAACACGGGTGTGTTCAGGTTAGACTGGTCCTTAAACACTCACTTCTCTTTTTAAGGGTGCAAAAGGAACTTAAGTGTATAAAACTAAACGAAAGTGTGGAAAGACCTTGTTCGAACTTTTTTCTTTCAGCTTATTTGAGATTTCTAGAAGTAGCCTTGTTCCAGCCAGCTTCACAAGGTTGTTGGATGGAATACCGTTTTGGATTTTTCCAAATGAACACATCAGTACTGCTGCTTTGACCTGGTGGCTCTGTTTAATTACTGCCGCCTGACTGAAATATTATGACCGCAAATACATGAAGAGAAGTTACGAGGAAAACCTTCAAGACTCTCGGCAGTTTTGTAGGTGCTATGAATCCATCAACCAGAAGGTGAAAGCTAAGCTTGCACTTCTACCCAGACCAGGAACACTGGCAGGCTAAATGGTTCTGGCCAGTGCAGAAAGGTGAACCAATGAATGAGGTTGTGCTGTTCTGTGCAGAAGCTTTAGATCTGTCCTTGTGTCATTCTGCAGAACGACACCAGCCTCAAACACACAGCCAGGATCATCAAGAACCGTCTTCAGTTAGGAGCCCCGCAACAGACGGTACGGCCCGAATAGAGTCCTGCACATAATCACAGCCTCTCCATGAAACATTTGAGCTCTGAAGGTGATTTTCAGCACAACCTTTGAATTTCTAGGAACCACGTAACCCGCCAAGGACTTGTATGTTCAAAGGGAGTCTTATGAATAAGGTTGTTTCCTTTTCAAAATCCTTCTTATTATATTACCTGGCAAACACTACTGCACCTCGATTCGTTATTTTTAGCTGTTACTAGGTATTAGTTGTTTTTATGTGTTTGATAAGGTCTCTTTCACTGAGAAACCCAGTAATAATTGTTCTTTTTGAAATATGACTGGCCACTCTACGTCGCATAAGCATAATGATGTTGAAAACTCTTTTGGACCTCTCGTTTCCTGTTTTAGCCACAGAAATTACATATATGCATAAATAGGGAAACGATTGGCTCATCAAAAGCCTGCCCCTTCTACATTACAGGGAAAATTAGCATTCATCCACTCGTACTTCTTGGCCACGATTGCATTGATTTAGCGCCCAAGAGAGCAGAGCACGTCTCGACTAATAGAAGCTAACCGTTAGCATTAGCAACTCCACAACATGGCAGAAAAAAACCTGGGGTGTCTTATCAAACATTGCGTAGAATCCTTACTATAACCGTACTTAAGCACAGCAGAAAAAAGTACTCACGCCAAGTAGGTTTGTGATCTATCAAACATGGAGCACACACAGCTGCACGCAATCTCCGCTTCATAAATCAGAGACTAACGAAAAAGGTTCTCAGCTGCTTTTTAGTCACATCCCGCTCTCACCACGCCCATTTACTGCCATAAATGGTCAATGCAAAGTACCTTGTGGATATCATGCATATACATAAGCCAGCTTGTTGCAGCATTTTGATCCCGACAGCAGATCAAGTAAGTGCTATTTCACAAGAAGAAGTTGAGGTACCTGTGGGTGAGGTGGAGAAATGAAAGGAAGTGCTTTTGCAAAACAAATAAGAGAAAATCCACGGAGTGGCACAGTGTTGCTGAAGCCGTCAATGTTGTGAATTCTTCAGAGAGATCTGAGGTGGATATAAAAAAAAAAACGGTCCAATCGGGATTCGATCCCCAGACTCCCAGGTGAAAGTTGTGCATGCTAACCAGTCACCAAAATGGAAAACTCCCTTGTCCAAGTAGCCAGGGCGCATGATCAATCGGGTCACAGTGACAGGACACACACTGTCACAGACGCATGACATTCTGTCTCAATCTGTCCCCCTGCTGATATTCTACATTCCGTATTCTGCGCTTCAGGCTGTGTGTGTGTGTGTGGGTGTGTGTGTGTGTGTGTGCACATGTGTGTGCGCGCACGTGTGCATGTGGGGGGTCTTGTTCTGTGTGAAAACAAAGCAGTACAAGTGATAATGCTGTAGGATTTCATAATTTTATCCTTCTCAGCAGCAGCACTGCAGGTGCTCTCCATGCCCAAAATGTGCGTAAGCAAGGTCCTTAGTCAACTCAAAGTTGAGCACATTTTTCCACAAAATTTTCTTTCATAAATCTCAGTTTGCGTGGAAAGTTGCTTACGCAGTTTTCCAACCTCGTTTTGTGCGTAAGCAAGCTTGATAAATGAGGCCCCTGGCCTGCTATTTGTGGAGATAAAACATCAATGTTGCATTTTTACCCAAGTAAGAAGAGTGAGCGGACACAGTGGAAGAGTGGCATTGCTGTTAGCCAATCAGAGGCGAGGTGTTCAAATATCATGAATATTAATGAATAAGACTCGGAATTCTGCGGTTTTCTGGCCCTCAGGCTTGTTGTTGAAACAGAAGCACCAGGGGTCTCATTTATCAAACATTGCGTAGAATCCTTACTAAAACCGTACGTAAGCTCAGCAAAAAAAAATTACTTACGCCAAGTAGGTTTGTGATCTATCAAACATGGAGTACGCACAGCTGCACGCAATCACCGCTTCATAAATCAGAAAGTATCTAGAAAGGTTCTCAGCTGCTTTCTAGTCACATCCCGCCCTCACCACGCCCACTTTCTGCCATTAATTGCCAATGCATAGTGCCTTGTGGATCTCATGCATATACCTAAGCCGGCTTGTTGCAGCATTTCGATCACGACCATAGATCAAGGAAGCGTAATTTCACAAGCAGAAATTCAGGTACTTGTGGGTGAGGTGGAGAAATGAAAGGAAGTGCTTTTGCAAAACGAGAAAATCCACAGAGTGGCACAGCGTTGCTGAAGCTGTCTTCAGAGAGATCTGTGGCGGATATAAAAAACATGGTCCAATCAGGATTTGATCCCCAGACTCCCAGGTGAAAGTCTCGTGCGCTAACCAGTCACCAAAACGGAAAACTTCCTTGTCCAAGTAGCCAGGGTGCATGATCAATCGGGTCACAGTGACAGGACACACACTATCACAGACATTCTGTCTCAATCTTTCCCCCTGCTGATATTCTGCATTCCGTATTCTGTGCTTCAGGCTGTGTGTGCGTGCGCATGTGTGTGTGTGTGTGGGGGGGGGGGGGGGGGGGGGAGGGGGGGGGCTGTGTAAAAACAAAGCAGTACAAGTGATAATGCTGCAGGATTTCATAATTGTATCCTTGTCAGCAGCAGCACTGCAGGTGCTCTCCATGCCCAAAATGTGCGTAAGCAAGGTCCTTAGTCAACTTAAAGGGACTTTTAGGACTTTTGAATTTTTATGCTCGCAATTGCCCCCTCAGGCCAAAAGCGTAACGGCAGCTTCAATAGTAGGCTCGTGCACGAGGCGCGCATGCTGTACGTGCACACTCCTTAACGAAAATAACAGCTGAGACAGCTCAGTGTGTGTGTGTGGCCCGGAGGACAGAAGAACACAGCAAATTAATAAAAATAATGTCCCTCTGTCTCTGCAGCTGCACTTTCTCGTCGGCCGGCCGAACGTGCAGTGTGTGTGTGTGTGTGCGTGTGGCCCAGAGGACAGAACACGCAGCTAATTAATTAAATAATTTGATTCTGTAGCTTTCTCTTCAGCACAGCTGACAAAGGTTTATGATGGGTCAGTCCTCCTGCATGCTCCGATCATTCCCTTCCCTTGCTTGAAAAATTGTTCCAAAATGAAAGTTGAACCCACATCTTTTTTATCTGTGAATTCAATGCCTTTCGGCGAGTCTCAAATAAAAATTTAGGTGTCTTATTACTGTAAAAAAATTATCATTAAGTAAAAAAGAAACTCCACATAACAAACTATGTTCACACCCGGAATCGTACCCGGGTGTTTGGCATGAGAGTCAGACTTATTACCAGGTGAGCTAAAGCGCCAGTAACATTCATAGTATCTGTAACTTTTATATCCTTGATGACGGCTGAAACAACGTCAATCCAAAGAACGGTTCGGAGCGAAAATGGCTATTTTGTTGCTTATTTGCAGGAAATATCTAGAAGAAAGTTCTACAGAAAGTAGCTAACCCCTTCTTTCCACCGGAGCCGTCAGCAGCACGTTACTGCAGCAGCACGTCATAGCTGCTGATAGGAACCGCTGTGGCCAGCAGAACCTTTTCCACCGGAGCCGTCAGCAGCGCGAGTCGGCCGCGTCTCAGGAGCAGCATGTCGCGGCCCTTAAGTGCCTGTTCTATTTTCTACGCGCGACACCTCTGAAACGGGTCAAGTTCGACATTTTTGGGGAAGAAAAGACAGGAAATTGGACGCGGAAATGGAGCGGAGCTCCCGAGATTTTCAGAATAAAGAAACGTACTGCCTTCCGGTTGCTTTACTTAAAAATAAAGTTACTAAGTGTGCGGCAACGTGAGAAGTTATCACCTAGCTAGCGGTCTCCTTTGTTTTTCAGGTCCGTATTGGCGATTATAAAACGGACAGAACATAAAACACAAACCTTTTGGAGCCATGTTGTAGTTTTCTCCTGCTTGTTGTTGTGTTTACTGACGAAGTCACTCGTGTGACTTCGTGCTCGGTCGGTGACAGCTGCTCTCCTGCTGCTTCGCGTCTCGTGGGAAGGGCCAAACAGCAGCTTACGCGAGCAAGACGTGCTGCTGCAGTAACGTGCTGCTGACGACTCTGGTGGAAAGAAGGGGTAAGGGTCCTCAGTAATGTAGGTAGGTTTGTCACTAGGCGTTAGGAACTGCGACAAAGTCGCTGAGTTGGCACTACCTCTCTCTCTGCTGCTAAAGCTACTGGTAGCAAATACTACGGGCTATGCCTGAGCGTGAACGCGCATGAAGCAGCCTGCTCGACCCGAGCAACTCTCTTTTTCTGTGATTTTACAGAAAAACAAGCAATCACAGTAAAAAATGCCAGGGCTCATTCTACAGGACCAGGGCATTGCAGGAGAATGTATGAAGAAGAAATTTATTATTTCTATACATGTTTTGACTGTCAAACTTCCTTATAGTCCCTTTAAAGTTGCACACAATTTTCTGCTAAGTTTTCTTTCATAAATCCCAAAGTTTGCGTGGAAAGTTGCTTACGCAGTTTTCCGACCCCATTTTGTGCGTAAGCAAGCTTGATAAACGAGGCCCCAGAGCTTTTTCCCCACAGAGAACAACTCACATTCATAGGTTTACTCAGATAACGAGTAAATGAGAGTTTTAAACATTTCCTGTTTTTCTGCCAAAAGGAAGCTTTACTGTTTGGATGTAGCCTGTAACAGAACCCTGTTTAGTCTTTGTTTCTAAGGGATTTTTCTGTTTTGTCTCTTTCTTTCTAGAGAAAATGAACAACATTCCACTCTCTCGTTCGGAGGTGTTTGGGGAGCTGAGGAAGGAGCTCTACGAAGATAAAGAGTTCCATCAGTCTGATGTCCACATGTTCATCATCATGGGAGCATCAGTAAGGAATCAGTCCCACTGTTGTTTCTTTGCTCTGAATTACCTAAGACCTTTGGCCTTTACTTGGTAAAATGCATGTTGAAACATAGGAAGACTGTGCAATAATTGCACAAAATCTGATTGGGTAAACGTTGAAGGTGATTTCAACAAGCTTCTGCAAACAAGCACCGCTGAGTCCTCTTTCAAAAGCCTCTAACTGAGACATAATAATGCTTCCTCTGTGCTTCAAGATAGATTTAGGTTGCCGTTAGTTTACGATTTAACAGATCTAGAACAAAACACAAGTAACATTTGGTTTATTTGACAACTAAAACACGTTAGAGGTCCATTCCAAAGGAACAAACGGGAAATATGTTGATTTTCTCATGCCTTTCATCAGTCCAGTTAGGGAACCACATCATTTCAGTTATTTTACAACCACTTGTTTCCTCCTTTCCTTTGTTTCATAATATTTCAGTTAGTTTTACCTAATAGATGCTAATACCTAAAGCGTTTAATCTGCCCTAAAAGAAACATTTTTTGACATTTAGTAAACTCTGAGCATTTTACTGGCCGTGTCCTTTGTTTACACGGTTTGCTCGTTGTGAAAGAAAGCTGGCATTGTGGCTCTTTTTGCCGCGTCATTGTATGTCAGCGTTTCTCTTTCAGGTCTGTTTGCAGGGAGAATGAGGTCAGGGCTGGGCTGAGTGTGTCCTCGCTCTGGTTGTGTCTGCTTCATGAGTACACACACACACAACACCGTTTTCAGACACGAGAGCATCAGATCTGCACATTTGTTCTTTAGTTATGGACCAGAGTGCAGTAAAGACTGGAGATGAGCAGCAGTAGAAGGTCTCTAGGAAACACTCCTAAACAAAGTGGCAGGGTTATAAGTTTGGGAGCTCCCAGATGAGGATTAGTGATTTAAAGGGTGATGAGGAGCAGCTAAGCTCATTACTGTGTTTAAGGCCGGCAGGACGCTGTTAAGGGAATTTGACTTTGAATTGAAATGACTTTGAATTTTCTGGTATGGGAGAAAAATCCTACTTTGATTAACCCTTGACTCCATTCCAGATACAATTACTGGCATCAGCCGTTGCTGAGTAGCAGGATGTTCTCACGAGCCTTTTGTGTTTTACAAGTCAGTGTTCGGTTTCAGTGGGATTAATGAAGTGGCCCGATTCTGATCTGGCCTGGATTTGTGTGTTCACCATCTCGGCGTGGTGTTCGTGGCTTTACTGCTGCATCTTGTGATGTAGCAGAAGCATGATGATCATGCTGTTGGATAAATCAGCTGCTAAAAACAAAGATTAAAGACGTTTTTTGATTGTGGGGTCATGTTTCTAATTATGCATTTGGACCTGCAGGGAGATCTGGCAAAGAAAAAGATCTACCCAACTCTGTGGTAAGTGAAGCTCAGTAGAGGCTGATGAATGAGACTCCGCTAATCCGGAGCCTCAGAGGGAGGATTTAATAAAATACACACTCCTCTGTTTCCTCCCAGGTGGTTGTTCAGAGACGGTCTCCTTCCTGAGCAGACGTATTTCGTGGGCTTTGCCCGCTCTGACCTGACAGTAGATGCCATCCACAATGCTTGCTTGCCATACCTGAAGGTGAGACATAATTTTTGTTATTTGAAGCTACGTCCGCATGATCTTTGTGTGAATCTTTGTTCCTTCTTGCTCAGGTGGCAGATACAGAGGCAGAACGTGTGTCGGCCTTCTTCAGCAGGAACACATACATCAGTGGGAAGTATGCCGATGACAGCTCCTTCACCAAACTCAACACACACATCCTGTCGCTGCCTGGAGGAAGTGGGGCCAACCGCCTGTTTTACCTGGCGCTGCCACCGACGGTCTACCACGATGTTACCAAGAACATCAGTCAGCACTGCATGAGCACAAAGTCAGTGCAAAATAAAGATGTTGAGGCTGGTAAAGTAAAAACAAGTTGTCCTGTGGGTTAAACAGTTGGTGGGATCAGGATTAGATGGAAATCACTGAATGAATAAAAAGTGTGTTTTTATTTGTCTGAGGACTAATTAGACCATTACACCTTCGTTTTGTGTTATGGGAAGGTATTTATTGTCATCCTATCAGCATAATTACGAATGTGACCACCACACTGAGGTGAAAAGTGCTGATCTGCTCATTTACGCCGCTGTGTGTCTTCTAGAGGCTGGAACAGGGTGATTGTAGAGAAGCCGTTTGGACATGATCTCCAGAGCTCAGAGGAACTGTCCTCTCACCTCTCGTCTCTCTTCACTGAGGACCAGATCTACCGTATCGATCACTACCTGGGCAAAGAGATGGTGCAGAACCTCATGGTGCTAAGGTACCAGAACCATTTCACACTTGTTCACACTAAAACAGTAATGCTCATTTTGACCCAATTCTCCCCTTCTGACTACCGGACGCCGCAATTACATTAAAGTAGAACAGAATCATACATCTCTCCTGCATCATGTCGGCCCTTCAGGTAGACGTCTGAGCTGACCCGGCTGGGAGGATCTCGGTTCATAAGCACACATGTTGCATGTGGAGAGGCAATGTGTCGGTGTAATACTGCACCAGGGTGTTTCCTCTGGAGGGGTCCGACCTGCGACTCCAAGATGTAACTGATGTGTCACTGACACAGCTGCAGAGATGATTAATCATTCACGTACCCATCACTTGTGTGTGTGTGTGTGTGTGTGTGTGTGGCATTTCTGTATTAATGTGACATTTGGCGAAGACTTGTTTCATGCTGAAACAACCGTTTAAAGGGATTGGAATTACGTTGCTCTTCATTTTCAGCCTGGTTTGCTGGATTAGAGCATCTCCTGTGGATATGATTCAACATTAATTCTGCTTGTCTTATAAATGTTTATGCACGCTGTCACAAACAGCTGTCCTGTGGGCCCGGGTGCTGCTGAGCCAGAAATAATCATGTGACGTTCACTGCAGGTTTGGAAACCGCATCTTTGGGCCGATCTGGAACAGAGACAGCGTGGCCTGTGTTGTTCTTACCTTTAAGGAGCCTTTTGGCACTCAGGGACGAGGAGGCTACTTCGATGATTTCGGCATCATCCGGTGAGAAGAAGCTCTGGAGAATTAAAGGGTGGACTGGATTTTCAGGACTCATGTAGATCAGGTTAAGATATGAAAGCAGTTGTAGCCTATTAAATTAGGTTTACGACCAAATAATTGACCTGCATGTGAATAATAAATCATGTTTCCTAGTTTAAATCCAGCATCAGTGCCAACAAATGATCAGTCCTAATTTAATAATGTGATCACAGCATCAGTGTCCTCTCTGTTGTGTAACCACCTGTTCCCATTCTCACCATCAGGGATGTCATGCAGAACCACTTGCTCCAGATGCTCTGTTTGGTTGCCATGGAGAAACCAGCCTCCACCAGCTCTGACGACGTCAGAGATGAAAAGGTGCAGCGGTGTCTGTGATGGATAAAACGGTTTATAACACATCTAAAACATGACTGGCGTATAAGGTCTGCTCTCTGCTCTGCCTCGTAGGTGAAGGTGCTGAAGTGCATCACTCCAGTGTCCATGTCGGATGTGGTCCTGGGTCAGTATGTGGGGGATCCAGAGGGTGAAGGAGAAGCCAAACTTGGTTACCTGGACGATCCCACAGTACCAAAAGGATCCAGTCAGGCCACCTTTGCTGCAGCCGTGCTCTATGTTCACAACGAACGCTGGGACGGTAAAGAAACAGACAGTCGCTGTACGTTTCTGTCTGCCGCCGTAAACTGAAACCGTTCCTCCGCAGGCGTTCCTTTTATCCTGCGCTGTGGAAAAGCTCTGAATGAGAGGAAAGCTGAGGTGCGACTGCAGTTCACAGACGTCCCTGGAGACATTTTTGAAAACAAATGTCAAAGGAATGAGTTGGTGGTGCGTGTGCAGCCCAATGAAGCCATCTACGCCAAAATGATGAGCAAGAAACCGGGAGTGTACTTCAGCCCTGAAGAAACAGAGCTGGACCTCACCTACAAGAGCAGATACAAGGCAGGATAACGGCCATCTGTCTTAAGATCTTATCCTTTAACTGCTTCCCAAAGGTTCAGACTACGCACTGCTAACATTGATTTGTTTTGCCTGAGATAAAGTTTATTATTAAAGATGTTATTTCAGTAAAGACTTCTCTGATCAACACCCAGAGAGAGAAACAATGTAGTTTATTAGTGAAATAAAATCACGTCTTTCTTTCCCAGGATGTGAAACTTCCAGATGCTTACGAGCGCCTCATCCTGGACGTCTTCTGTGGGAGTCAGATGCATTTCGTTCGCAGGTCTGTCTTTGTTTGTGTCGGCTTGTAACCCAAACGAGCCCGCTAGCTATCCCAGGTTCCACTAGATGGCACCGCAGTACAGAATACTAACGTTTCATGGATCGCTGATGTTTGCAGTGATGAACTTAGAGAGGCATGGAGGATCTTCACCCCTCTTCTTCACCACATAGAGGAGAAGAAGCCACAGCCTATTCCTTACAAGTATGGAAGGTAGGAAATGTTAGCTCTCTGCTTAACTGGAGAACTTTTATTTGGCACCAAAACCTGAATCTCTGTTCCTTTTCTCCTTCCTGGCAGCCGTGGTCCAGCAGAAGCAGATGAACTGGTTCAGAAGGTTGGATTTCGCTATGAAGGCACTTACAAATGGGTCAACCCTCACAAACTCTGAATGGGCTGTAGGCAGGACTGGGGGTGGGGGGGCTACCGGTCCAGTTCTAGAGGATAGAAGCAACGAAGAGAAGGATAAAAATATATTCTCAGGTTTTACAACGATTCCTCTGAGCCTCTTCAACAAACAAGTTAAATGACTTATTTTTAATAAATTTCACAGAAACCTTTTATAAAGTAAAAACAGGAGCTGTTCCCGTGGAATCGGCTCCAGGAATCGGGATGTGATGGCAGACAGAACAAGCTCACAACACGAGCCGAGTAACAAACACGTTATAGGTCACACCAATCAGCAGCACGTCTCCACTCGCCGAGACTTTAGGTGGGATTTTATTTTTAGCTTAGCTTTGCTGCGAGGGACCAAGAGTGTTTCTCACCATCAGACTTTAAAACATCCTGGAGCAGAAAAACAAACAAAAAACATGCGTCCTATTAACCTCCCGCTCAGCTTCATTCCAAGTGTTTACACTCTTTTACTTCCAGCATTTAATTTTGTATTCATATTTCCAAACATGCAGGCAGGTGAGCCATATTGTGCTGCTGTCCACTCATGTAAAGGTAGCCAAGCTCCCAGTACTTGTAATAAACTAGTTTTGCTTCCATCGTCTCGTTTTCTGGTACTGATGCATGATGGGAAGAGAACGGAACAATACTCCAGACACGATTCAACACCTGAATTCATTTATTCAAATGGAGATATTTTGCAGCTCAAGTATACACTTGGTTAGGCAGGATCACAGTAACAAATGGCGTAGTGAGTCATTGTTCATGAACAAGGTTGTTCTGGTTCTCCTGAACCCTTCTACAGCAGTTTGGCCACCATGACTACATGAGAACAGAGCAGTAATTAAAACAAGATCCTTGCAGCTTTTCAGAAAACTGACTTCTAACTCCACAGAAATTAGCTGCCTTGTAGTGGTAGTTTTATGAAATGAGGGAAAACTTCAACTTCAGTCCTAAATTATCTCAAAAACAAGTTTTTTTGAAAAGCAACAAGGAGTTTGTGCTGCTCAGTCTCATGGGAGAGGGATTTAAACCGACTCGATCACCAGAGTGCTTCTAGTTGCTGGTTTCTTCGATAATAAATGATAATAAAAGGCCAACCATGCATTATAAGGCACATTTGTTTTGTAAGTTAAAATATATTCATTAACAGCACATGAGGGGCATGTCAGTGAATTATGTACAGCTAAAAATCAAAGAGGTATCTGATCAAACCACCGGTGGTGGACCGAGACATTAATGCTATAAGCTGGTAATAACAGTGCTATAAACTATTACAATGTCAGTTTCAGATCCAACTATTCCAGAGGTTTTATAAAATGTAGATTTCTATATTACTGCTGAGACTTTACAAATTGACACCAAGTAATCTGATTACATCCGACTTAGTTTAAACTATCTGACCACCAACTAGAGACGAGAAAACAATTATCCTTCAAGTTTCCGTACGGAAAGAGAAAAGGTAAGAACTTCTGTAGCCTTCTGTGTGCGTCGAGTCTGACTGGAGGGGAGCAGAAGTGCTCCAGGGGCTTGTTCCCGCGAGGAAGGCAGTCTGTCGGTTTTACCTGGTCACATGTGCTCGGGGTGGTTTTGCAAGCAGCTGATGAACTCTGTGACCGGATGGCCCTGGAAGCAGATCTGATACACTGCATTGAAGAGAGGGAACCTGTGGGGAGAGGAGGTGTTAGCGTTTAACTGATGCTACTGCAGATGGTAGCGTCCCAGACCGCTCCACCTACTTGTCAACCAGGTTTTTGTGCTTGAGGATGAGATAAACCTCGGCTGCTGTTGCTGGTCCCTGCAGCTTCTGGCCGTTAAGCATTTCTCTCTCCAGATCCTCGATGGACTGAGCGAGGCAAGACCGTTTAAAAGAGAAACACGATCAACTGTTTTACTGCCAATGAGCTTTTTACACACCGGATAGTCATGTTTACCTCAAACCAATAGGTTAAAGTCACCCCACAAGCGCTCACCTTCCCTGTTTTCACAAAAGCTTCTGCTACCCTGCGGTTGCGGCCTCCGTAGCAGGTCGTGATGAGGTCGGCCACGCCGCAGCTCTCCAGGAAGGTCGCGGAGGACACAGGCCCGGCCGTGCAAAATATCCGAGCGAAGGCGATCATCTCCATCAGCCCCAGCCTGATTACCGCTGCCTTTGTGTTGTCCCCGAAGCCCAGACCGTCACAGAAACCAGCACCGACCGCAACGATGTTCTGCAGAACAGATGAAGCAAGTGCATCAGCTACCGCTGCAGCTGGAAACATGGCTGGAGACAGCCTGGAACATTAATGACGCTCAACTAAATCCATCCCTTCGCCATTTCAGTAAATTCAGAACATTGTTCATATCAGTTCATCCCTCAGAGCCCTTCAGAGATTATAACCTGGGATTGGTTTAACTGTCTGCACATTCACCTCTAATGAACGTGAGTCTATACAAGTGCAGATGCTTTAAAGACTAAGTCAGACTTTGAGGAAGGTGTAAAGTCACCTTCAGAGCTCCACAGATTTCCACCACGTCACATTCCTCCACAACTGTAACTCGGAAGTTGTTGGTCTGCATGAGTTCCTTCAGGAGAGCGCCGTGGTTTTTATTCTTACAGCCTGCAAGCAGAAAATAATACATAGTTGCTCTGAAATGACCTGTGTTAGTACAGCAATCCGATGACTATTAATCCTATCAAGAATGCAGATACACAAAAAAGGAAAACCAAAGATTAACCTTCCACCCACAAACTGATGACACCAAACAGTGGTCAGGCTCACCAATGGTGGTCTCACAGAACTTCTCATCAGCGACCTCGTTGGCGATGTTGGCTCCCATCAGCACGCTCATTGTGATGCCAAGCTTCTCCTGAATTATGTCAGAGATGAGTTTGAGTCCATCAGGACCCTCGTCCACACCCTGGAAGAGCAAAAACGTACACATGGTGGCATCTGGCTCAAAGATCACATTACACAACGAGACTGCATGACCGTGCTATCACTGTGCCGGAGTCTTGGGAGGAATGGTGAAACTTTCACATCTGATTATTAAAAAAACACGCTGCACAAAGAGCAAAGTCAAACCTTAATCAGAGATATTCCCAGTGCGTCGCTCTTGACTTTGCCCTTTATGGTGTCGCACACTTTGCCGATGAACTGGTGAGGGATCACAAACACCAGAATGTCTGCATCACTGGACGCCTCCAGCAGGTCTGGCACAGCCAGCTGGGAAAACAAATCAAGGAGGATGGAGTTAGAAGTAAAATCTCACTGGAACAACATATATTTGACATGAAAGAAAAAGTTAAAGCAGCAGCCCCTTACCACATTTGCTGGTAGCCTGTGTCCAGGAAGGTACTTCACATTTTCATGGGTGGTGTTGATTATTTCAGTCAGCTTCTGCCCGTTCACAGTCTCCTCAAACACCCACATTTTCACTGTGTTGTCAAATTTAGGATTTTGAGCAACATTGGCACCAACAATCTTGGCAATGGCAGAGCCCCTGGATTGTAAACAGACACGTCTATTCAATTCTGTTTTGTAAACATTCATCATTTTATTTGAATGGAGACAAGCATGGCTTTGGGTTATTTCATTTATTTACAAGTAGACATCACTACCACTGAAAACAAGAGTAAATTCAATCTGTAAGCAGGAGAAATCTTAAACATAAGCCGAATTAATTGAACGATTTCAAAGATATGTTGATTTAATCAACATTAATGCTTTATCTTTATGAAACTCTCAAAGCGACTCTATAACTTTTACCTCCTGGGTTTTGAATGGAATCCTGTTGGTGACAACAAGCTAAGCTAACATAAACACATAATAGCTAATTTCAAGGGCACGCATTTGTCCACTTATGGACTCACGGGGTTACTTTTCTGAACACTCGTCCAGTCTGAGAGCTACGCCGAGTAGCTGCTAACGAACCGGTCCGTAGCTGGTACCGGTTACGGCTGGACCCAACTTCACCGGGATGGTGAATGATGCTAGTTAACGCGAGTCGGCTCTGACGTTAGCATACAACCGGACCTGACGCTTCATCATGGATCAGACAACTTGCCAGTTTCCAGAGCCCACGATGCAGACTTTCTTCGCTGCTGCCATGGTGAGGAGACGTGGAGCTGAACGGAGGTCTGCGGTCATGTTATGCAACAACACTCGAATCTTATGGACCTGTTCTGGGGGGCGGGGGGACACCGGACCGCCCATCCAGCGAAGGCCGACTCTGGTCACTCATTTATGGGACAAAGGTTAACAAGACCATGCGAGAGCAGAAGGAGCTCTGGATGTATTTTTTTTTCATGATATATACACACAGATTTAGCAAACTATACATAGTGTTTTAAAAACATCATAAAACATCATATTAAACAACCCATAATGTGCTCAGATGGAGTTTTTAAAGCTACATCAAGCACTTTCTAAATACGCCCGAGGGCCCTTTGTGGCCCTCAGAGTGACTGTGTGCAGCCCCCACTTGCATTTCTAGAATGATGAATTTTGTCTCTGTAGAAAGCTATTAATGCGCTTTTACCCTTTCTACTATTTTCATGTTCAGATTTTTGCAAATGAGTGTATTTAGGATTAATTTTGAGGAGTAGCTACAACTTAAAGAAAAAAAGAATATAAAATAAGCCAGTTTTAGCGTGCTTTAGCAGGTTTTCAATGGTTCTTCAGTTCGGAGGCTCCGCCATAATGAACATGATACAGTAAACACCAACCATCTCTAGCTCATCTTTTCTGAGGTGCAAACATGGATTTCCATGAAGCATTCCTGCTTCTTGTGAGATACATGACTTTATGTGACTTCAGGCCACCCATCTAGAGAGGCTCAAGTTGTAAAAGTGGTATTCTGCCCACAAGGAGCAGAGGGCACTGAGAGGCTCTTCATTCATCCTGGACAGGGTCATTTTAACACCTACTGGCTCACAAAAAAGATGTGAAAATATGTCAACCTTACTTAGTGTACCTTAAAAAAAAAAGAGTTTAGGGGACTGCAGCCTGCAGTTCTGGAGCCACTCTGCTTCTCTTTGTAGCTTTGATCAAAAATGGCATGAATTCAGTTATTCTTTTAAGTAGACAACATCAAAGGGTACTTTTAACCATTTACATGTCCAAATGTTAGAAATGACTGCATGGAATTTCCACAGTAAAATTACTCTAACATACACAAAGGTGTTGCTAGTTTTACTGCTGAGCTGAAAGTCTTCTTACCCTGTGCCTTACTTTGTTTAAGCAACTTCCTGACACACAGAGCAAATACTCTCCAGAGGCACCAGAACATTCATTATAGTCAGCCAGATAGCTGCAAAAGTGACTTAGTTTTGCCAATCTATTGCAAATAGCTGAATTTTAAAGCAATAATATGCAACATTTCCCTATTTCAAAATTTTCTAGAACCAGTATGTGCTAAAATTATCCTTTACAAGGTTAAGGAGTCACTCAAATGCATATCACCCTCTGTGTGCACCACAAGGAGATTGGAATCAAAAGTGAAACTTAATACTAGGGGGTGTTAAAAGCAAGCACAACTGCCAAGTGTGCCTTTAACGTATCAGAATGTGAAATAGTAACATATACAGCAAGTTATTAGTATGAGAAAATAGAACACAAAAAATCTGTAATAAAAGCATCAACCTATGTTTAGTGGGATGAACATGGTTTGAGTCATTAAGGTTGCAGATCTGTGTCCTAAATTACATCAGAGATGTTAAAAGTGCCCCAAAACGTTGGAATTCACCTCTTCCGGTTAGACAAGCACCCTCGCTTCCCATCTTTACATCTTGGCTGAAAACTCATAGCTTCTCCATGGCCTTCCATTCTTAGCATCAACAATTTGTCATACCTCCTTCTCCTGTGAGTTTCCCATCTTAAACCTGTGGTACTTTTAATAATTTTGTTATCGTTTTTATTTGTAACCGTTCTGTATTTGTCATGGTCTGGGGAAGGCACTTAACCCAGGACATGCAGAATCAAAACAACTCACAGGTTTTTAAACAAAATTAAAAGTTTATTTATATAACGAGAACATAAGGCGCACTGGATATTCCAGCAGTGGTTGGGAGAACGGAAGCATCTGAGGGGGAGAGCAGATAAGGTGAGTCCTGAGAGGCAAGTCTTAACTGGTAAGGTGCAGAGAAAAGACTTACAGGGAATTTGGTAGGTGGAGGTATAGGGAAGGGCAGATCTAGAGTCGGGGTGTGTCCAGGTGAGTAGGTCCAGGAGAGGGAGCGTGTGGAGAGCAGGTGAGCGAAGCGGATGGAGGAGAACACCAGAGCGCTGAGTCCAGAAGGTTTATGTAGAAGGTGAGTATCCAGGTGAGTAACAGATGTTTCTGCACCAGTGATGATCCAAAATCCTGAGGCAGTCGAGAGCAACACAAAATTACAAAAATCAATAAATCCCAAAAGTCACAAGCGTCACAAAAACAGTAGCTCGCTGGAAAACTACCGCGTTGTAGTAATCATCCCACGTCGAGGTGTGTTCTCCCACTCCTTAAGTAGCTGGTACTGCTGATTGTTAATCTGCCACAGCTGGAAGCCTCCCTCTCCTGCATCACAACCCAAAGCTGGAATGTTTGAGAAGAGTACTCACCCCGACTCATGACAGTATTATTTTTATAAATGATTTTATGACTCGACTATTTGATGCTTTTGTTGTTTTATTTTGCACAGTGCTTTGGTTGGTTGTAATGCCATGTTGAAAGCGCTTTTTGAAATAAAATGGTATGGTACTGTATGGTATGGTAAATGTTCTGTGCCTTATTGAGCAGCATAAACAGCAGTATATAGCTGTTTGTTGAATTCAATTGAAGTGAAGTAATTCTTTATTGATGTGCTTATTTCAGCCATGTTATTCGTCATTTATAGAAAATCATGCTGCATGTGCAGAGTAAAGCAGCAGATAGATGGGTCGATGATCTTGTTTTACAGATTAGAAATGCATAAATGAAATCTACACCAGAGGGATTATGATTCGTGTGTTTTAAAAACCACATTACCCTGAAGCAGCTGAAACGGAGAAACCGTGCTTTGTAACTGCTTATTTGCACACTGACCTTTCACAAAAACTCACTCTGAAAAAATAAAATACTTGAACCAACTTTATATTAGTCAGATTGTAGCTGACAGTGTGTTTCACCAACATTAGAGTCTACGTGGTAAACATGGGCCTGCCTGTTTACGGCCTCCTCCTGGACTTCCAGGACGTGTCTGGAGTTGACTTTGAACACAAAATAAAACATAGCCAGCACATTTGCAGCTTTAAACACGGTGGGAGAAAACATTCTGTTTGAACACATCAAACAAAAGAGGACCATGTTGCGTGAGAGTTGGCCAGCAACCAGAAGAGGCCACACAGGAAGGAACTAACCTCAGCAGTCTGGTTTCTGAGTGCAAGAACATGAGACAAACCAGCTGACAAGTGGACGTGAAACTAAGTCACACTTTAACGAACCAAAGCCTTTCCTCTTTGAAGGAAAGCATTTGACCTTCTTTATATTTCTACAGCATGTTTCTGTGTTAAAGCTTCATATCTCAGTCTTTTTTTATTTGTTATGACGGCTGCAGCTGCACCTTCGTACCAGCATTAGTTTAAAGTTTGTGTGTGAAATGGTTCGAACTATTTTCTACGAGTTTGCTTATTCGGTGTGTGTGTTTATTTATTTTAAACATGTTCCTTCAGTGTCTTGAAAAACAAAAGTGCAGCTGGTAGCATTGTTGCCTCACAGAAGTTGCTGGTTCAAATCCCACCTATGTGGCATAGGTTTCTCCAGCTTTTTCCCACAGAACAAAACATGCATGCCAAGCTTATTGGAGACTCTTTATCCTCCTTGTTCTTGTCTCTGCACGTCAAATCAAGTCAACTTTATTTATTTAGCGCTTTACAAACAGCATAAATGGTGACCAAAGTGCTTAAGACAAAAAAAAAAAAAAAAAAAAAACAGCAATGCACCATAATGCTGAGAATAAGTTATGATGAAAGGCTAAAAAAAATATATATATATATAATAATGACAAAGCATAAAAACCGATACAGAACAAATACACTCACATTGAAATAAAAGCGACTGAAAACAGATGAAGCCATGCAGTGCATCCCTGTGATGGACTGGAGACCTGTCCAGCTGGCCCCCGACCTTCTACCTGATTACTGCTGGAGTCAGGCACCAGCTCGCTGTGACCCCGGTGAGGTATAAGCTGTTTTTCAACACGAACGTGTTTTGAAAAGCACTTTGCAGCATTAAAAATGACAACCCGTTCCATCAAGATAGCATGTAATCTTTAATTAAACATCAAATTCTATTTATTCACACGTTAATGAAAACCAGGAATCGGTCCAGCTCTCAAACGGAACCGACATTAAAGACAAAAGTAAAGGAAAGCAGTGAAATCCCAAGCTCCTGTAGGGCAAAGTAAAGACTATTCATGGTTCCAGCTGCTGTGATACAGTAAGACAGGCAGCATCTGGATTAAGCAACAATCATATGTACACATAACTGAGCTAAGACGGTCTGCTTGAAATAAATACAACATCAGGCTGATCAGACTACAACAGGATTACTATCCACACTCACTGCAGTATTTACATAAAATTACAGCTGATGGTTTGTTTGTGCCTGATATCAGCACAGCTACACATTCTCATTTCCTGCTGAGTTGAACACACAGCTCAGAGTTAAGCAGAGTCTCCAAGACACAACACAATGGTTTAATCTAAACAGAAAAGAATCTCGGCAGCATGCAACTACAGAGCTCACAGAGGGCAGATTTCCTCACATCAGCTTCAGAACACGGCCTCGATGTCCAGACGCCGCCGTAGAAACACTCAGGCACAGAATTAGATCACAATATGCAACCGGACACGCAGACAGATGGCACAAACTGCAGTCAGACGTGCAGCTGATCTGCTGAACAACATTTTTAAGACACCTGCTGGACAACGAGACAAGCAAGTCGGAGACGTGAAGACGGAAAAACATTCAGAGAGTTCATCGTCTTTGATGTGATCTCAAATAAAAAGAGAAACCCTCGTGAGAAACACTTCTCTGTTCTTCTGAGACATTTTGGAAACAGTGATAATAACTGAAGACTGACAAGCTGAAAAAAAGAAGCAACAAAATGTTGCATAAAATAAAAACAACACTTCACTTGAATAGTTGTTTTCTTTTCAGTTTTTAGTTATTTTAATAATAAAGTGAACGGCCATTTTGGGGAGTAAAATTAAGGGCAGTGAAGCATAACAGTGCGAGATTGGTGCTGTGTCTGCAGTGATGCGGGCATTGTGCCGGTCCATTTACGTTTCTACCCTCATCTATGGTCACAAGATTTGGGTAGTGACAGCAGAACGAGATCGCGGAAGTAAGTGGCTGAAATGAGTTTTCTCCCTTAGAGATAGGGTTAGAAGCTCAGTCATCCAGGAGGGGCTCATAGTAGATCCACTGCTCCTCCACATCAAGAGGAGCCAGTTGAGGTGGCTTAGGATGCCCACTGGACGCCTCCCTGGTGAGGTTTTCCAGGCACATACAACCAGAAGGAGACCCAAAGGAAGACCCAGGACATGCTGGAGGGACCATGTCTCTCATCCGGCCAGGGAACACTTTGGGATTCCCTCAGAGGAGTTAACCCAAGTGGCTGGGGAGAGGGAAGTCTGGGCCTCTGTGCTAGGCTGCTGCCACCACGACCCGACTCCGGATAAGCTGGATGGATAAGACGGATCATTATAGTCCTGTGTAACGATGGATGATTCCTCTGTGTTGGAAGACTAAGAAAACAAGACTTTTATCATTTTAATATTTGGACAAGTTTTCTTCTGCAGGAGTTTGTTTATGAATCATTTCAGCCCTCAGACCTTTAATGCTGTCTGCTTTAAATCCAACCACTTCTCGTTTATTTCTTACAGAATCAACTTCTACTTTTCCATCAGCAGTTTTTGTTCTGTTTTTGTTTCCTTAGCGATTCTTGATCTAAACCCCCAAATAAACCCAGTTTCATGTATTCTCCTTTCCTGATGACAATCCCACTTTCACATGGAGGAAAACACTCATGTCATGAATCTCTAGTTGATCGATGACATTTCTGAAGGCAACTGATTAAGGAGGGGTTTTCTAATCTAATTACGGGTAAAATGAGGGTTCTTATTCACTAATCATAACAATAAAGATCTATCTGTATGCACTGTCTTATTAGCAGGTTCACTTCAGTTTATCGGGGTGTGTGTCGGTGTGTGTAAACAGTTTAATCTTGAAACCATCCAAGCTTTGTGCATCACAACTTTTCCTCAACAGACATCTGATTTCATTTATACCAGTAAGTCCCAAACTGGTTGTTTTGCTGTTGAGAACTGGTTCAGCTCTGATATGAAAATCTAAATGTTCTTTCTGACCTTGCTGATGATCAGCTATGTTATGTAGCGCAGAGAGATGAGGTAGTACAGTCAGTGTATTGGCAGGATGCCACCAGTTCAACAAGGGAAGACGGTCTTGAGGATGGATGACATGAAGTAAAAAAAAAAAACAGACATAAAGGCAGCAAATGAGTACAGAATTGAGAAACCCAATCATTTTGACAGATAACAAACTCCACCTCAGAGCAGATCCACTAAACACAACTCAATGAACCTCCTTTCAGCCAATGCCTGTTTTCATAGCTGTTGCTGAGTCTTTACAGGTGTTTACAGAAGACCATGCAGTTATTTTATCATCACGACACGTAGATCTCTGCTTTCTGCTGCCCCGCTCTCTGCGTGACCGTCCATCTTTGTATTTGAAGGCCGCACGACCGTGTTCGGCGACTAACTGACAAAGCTTCACCAGGCACAGTTCTCACTCTTCGCCTGCGCCTGCGGACAAAAGGGGGAGAGCATTTCCAGCTCCAGACCGCAGAGGATTAATGAAAGTTACTGACGTGACACTTGACATCGTCTAAGCTCAGGACCGTTCCCTGGTCGTTGTTGTTGTGCTTGTGCTTCTTATCGGAGCAGTGACACAGCTTGTACTTTATCACCTTCGGGGATTAAAAGAACAGCATCAGCAAGGTTGTTGGGAAAAGTCTGAAATGAGCCAACTTTCAGTGAGAAAGAAAGTCTCGCTTCCTCACCTCATAAATATAGTCAAATATCTCCAGGATGCTCAGAATGCTTGCTCCAATAAAAAGCCCCATCTGACCACCGATATCACCTGGAATCAGAGAAAATGGCGTTGTTTATGATCTGAGCAGCACGGTTGCTTAATTAAACTTGAATAATGAGATGTAACTGTACCTAAAAGACCAGCTACTTCATAGGCTTTCTTCTGTTCAATCGTTTCATAGTTCAGAGCTTCAAAGAAGATGTCTAAAACCAAAATATTCTCCCTGGTGAGACAAAAATGAACAAGTGTGTTTTGGAAGTGGTTCAGGTAAAGCTAAATGCTCTCATGTGACTGTTGGAGGATGATGTTTAGGTTCAGTTAGGTTTAGTAAGACAAATGAAGCATTAAACTTGTTTCCCCAGTCCTCGTGTAATCTTTAGCTTCATATAACAGACCCGCGACACTCCTTACTTGATATACTGCTCGGACTTGTTGTATTTCTTGGCGAGGTATTTGGCTGAGGCCTTGCTGGGGATCTTGACAAAAGAGAGCTCTTTGCTGTATCTCGTCATGTTGCACGGCGTCTCACACACACAGAAGCTGTTGTCTTGTTCAACCAAAAAGTCTGGAGAGGAGAAAAAGCACAGCAGATGTTGACCTTTGGCCACAGCCAGGGTTAAAGGGGGTTAGGGAGGCCTTACCCAAAGCTGGGTCTGCACATTCTTTGTACAGCTCGGGGGTGCAGTAGGGGGCGTCACCTGCAGCGGATCCAACACACACACAAAGATGGATGCTTCTTTTTTCTTTGAAGCATTTATTGATCAGCCCTAGTGTGACTGGTGTAACTCTGATGATGCAGCAAAGAGAGAGAGAGAGAGTGCGCGGTTCCCTACCTGGCATGTGCACCATGCGACAGTTGCAGTTGTCCACCAAGTAGCGTGTTTCACAGTCTATACGACAGGCTGTGATGCTGTAAATGTCAAAGAACTCTGACTCCATGGGCGTCACCTTACAGTCTCCCCATGGTGGAGGCAGGTAGATCAGCTGCAGTGACCAGAATCACAAACAGCTTAGTGCTGCTCATCTACGAACAGATCAGACTATAACCCACCTCTGATTTAGGTCAAAGAGAAAGGAATGATGGTGTGGAGGAAGGACGAAAGCAAGGATGTTTTTGAAATGGCAGGATGAGGTTTAATGTCTGACTGAGGAAGAAGAGGAGGAAGACTCACTTTTATAATCTAATGTCTGGTGATCATTTTGGTACGGATGCTGAGGTTCAAAACATTCTGAGCAGATTTGAACCTCAGTCCTTGGGTTTGCTCTTGGTGAATTAGGGTTCCATGGAAACGAAACGTAACTAAAGAGTAAAAAAGACATCTCTTTGGTTATATGTTGTGTGGGTGCGGGTTAGGGTTCAAGCTGATAGAAAAATAAGATATAAAAAGTTTTTATAGGTCAAGAATAATACATGTACCTCCGTTGTTGAAAGGAAGTTAAATTTAGGGCAGCACAGTGGCGCCGTGGTTGGCATTTGAGGATTTGAGTTCAAATCCCATCCTGGGATCTTTCTTCATGGAGTTTGCATGTTCTCCCTGTGCATGTGTGGGTTCTCTCCGGGTTCTCCGTCTTTCTCCCACAGTCCAAAAAACATGATTTTCAAATTGATTGGTTTCTCTAAAATTGTCCTTAGGTGTGTGTGTGTGTGCATGGTTGTTTGTCCTGTGTGTCTCTGTGTTACCCTGCGATGGACTGGCAACCTGTCAAGGGTGTACCCTTCCTGCATGCCCAGAGACTGCTGGAGATAGGCACCGGCGACCCTGCGTGGACACGCGGGTATAGAAAATGGATGGAAGAATGGAAGCAATTTTTTTTAATAAATTATCAAACAGTGTTGATTTAGGACTGCATGGTGGTGCAGAATGGACCCTGTTCCGTGCCTCCATTGTTGAGGCGGCCGACCGGAGCTGTGGTCGCTGGATCGCCGGTGCCTGTCGTGGTGGCAACCCCCGAATCCGCTGGTGGACACCGGCGGTTGGGGATGCTGTCAAGCTGAAGAAAGAGTCTTATCAGGTCTTTTTGGCCTGTGGGACTCCAGAGGCAGCTGACGGATACCGGCAGTCCTAGCGGAACGCCGCTCGGGTGGTCGCCAAGGCAAAAACCCGGGCACGGGAGGAGTTCGATGAGACCATGGAGCAAGACTTCCATACGGCTTTGAGGAGATTCTGGTCCACCATCCGGCGCCTCAGGGGGGGAAAGCAGTGCGCTACCAACACTATCTATAGTGGGGACGGTGTGCTGCTGATCTCTACTCAGGACGTTGTGGATCGGTGGCAGAATACTTCGAAGACCTCCTCAATCTCACCGACACGTCTTCCAGTGAGGAAGCAGAGTTTGGGGACTTTGGGTTGTTCTCTCAAATCTCTGGTGCTGAGGTCACTGAGGTGGTTAAAAAGCTCCTCTGTGGCAAGGCTCCAGGGGTGGATGAGATCTGCCCCGAGTTCCTTAAGGCTCTGGATGTTGTGGGGCTGTGTTGGCTGACAATATCGCGTGGACATCGGGGGCAGTCCCACTGGACTGGCAGATCTGGGTGGTGGTCTCCTTATTTAAAAAGGGGGACTGCAGGGTGTGTTCCAGCTACAGGGGGATCACACTCCTGAGCCTTCCTGGTAAGGTCTATTCAGGGGTTCTGGAGAGGAGGGTCCATCGGATTGTTGAACCTCAGATTCAGGAGGAGCAATGTGGTTTTCATCCTGGCCGTGGAACACTGGACCAGCTCTATACCCTTAGGGGGACACTGGAGGGTGCATGGAAATTTGCCCAACCAGTCTACATGTGTTTGTGGATTTGGAGAAGGCGTTTGACCGCGTCCCTCGGGGGGCTCTATGGGGGGTACTCCAGGAATATGGGGTACCAGGCCCTCTGATATGGGCTGTTAGATCCCTGTATGACCGGTGTCAGAGTTTGGTCCGCGTTGCCGGCAGTAAGTCGGGCTCGTTCCCAGTCAGAGTTGGACTCTGCCAAGGCTGCCCTTTGTCACCGATTCTGTTCATAACCTTTATGGACAGGATTTCTAGGCGCAGCCAAGGTGTGGAGGGCATCCGTTTTGGTGGCCTGAGGATCAGGTCTCTGCTTTTAGCAGATGATGTGGTCCTGTTGGCTTCATCAGAACATGATATTCAGCTTTTGCTGGAGAGGTTCGCAGCCGAGTGTGAAGCAGCTAGGATGAGAATCAGCTCCTCTAAATCTGAGACCATGGTCTTGATTCGGAAAAGGGTAGAATGCCTTCTCCAGGTCAGTGATGAGGTCCTGCCCCAAGTGGAGGAGTTTAAGTATCTCGGGGTCTTGTTCACAAGTGAGGGAAAACTGGAGCGTGAGATCGATAGGTGGATTGGTGCTGCATCTGCAGTGATGCAGGCGTTGTACCGGTCTGTCGTGGTGAAGAGAGAGCTGAGTCAGAAGGCAAAGCTCTTGATTTACCGGTCGATCTACGTTCCTACCCTCACCTATGGTCATGAGCTTTGGGTAGTGACCCAAAGAACGAGATCGCTAAGCGGCCGAAATGAGTTTTCTCCGAGAGTGGCTGGGCTCTCCCTTAGAGATAGGGTGTGAAGCTCGGTCATTCGGGAGGGGCTCGGAGTAGACCCGCTGCTCCTCCACATCGAGAGGAACCAGTTGAGGTGGCTCGGGCATCTGGTCAGGATGCCTCCGGGACACCTCCCTGGTCAGGTTTTCTGGGCACGTCCAACTGGGAGGAGACCTAAAGGTAGACCCAGGACACGGTGGAGGGACTATGTCTCTCACCTGGCCAGTGAACGCCTTGGGATTCCCCCGGAGGAGCTGGCCCAAGTGGCTGGGGAGAGGGAAGTCTGGGCCTCTCGCCTTAGGCTTCTGCCCCCGTGACCCGACTCTGGATAAGGGGATGAAAATGGATGGATGGATGAATGGATGGATGGACGGTGGTGCAGATGTCAGCACCATTGCCTAGCACAGAGAGGGTTGCAGGTTTGAATCCTGGCTGTTTTGGTTTTCTCTGGCTTCTCTGGTTTTCTCCCACAGAGCAAAAACATGCATATCATGTCATGATTTGGGGGTTGTAGCAGGACCCAAAATGCAGGTAATCCAGAGACAGCCTGGTAGGTTAAAACCAAAAGGTTTATTGTAAGGTTGTGGTGTGGCAGGATCAGGATCAGGATCAGGATCAGGATCAGGATCAGGATCAGGATCAGGATCAGGATCAGGATGGAATACAAACAATACACTTACAAACACAAGGAACCCAGGACATGACCGGGTTTAAATACTGCTGAGGAGGTGAGTGAAGACAGGGAACAGGTGTGATGATTACTGATATAATGACCTACAGGTGTGACTGGTTAACAAGGAAACACAAAGACAAGAGAACAGAACTATGAGAAATGAAGTCAAAACTAAAACACAAGAAGGCTGTACAACACCAGATAAGATAAGAGACTATAACCAAATGATGAAAGGATACATGAGGAGCAGAATTAAACTAGACTGAACACACTGGAAGGGACAGAGAGGACAAGGACACCTGGGAGGGAGAAATATGGAATAAACTGGGGAGACAAGGAACACAGGACATGACATATCAGGCTTCTTGGAGGCACTAAACAGTCCCTAGGTGTCAGTGTGAGACTGGTTGTTTGTCTATATGTACATTAAACTTAAGTGAGGAATTGAGTGGAAATCTGTAATAAAATGAAGCGGTCCCACTTGTCGTACAGCTCATTAAATGACGTGCACATCTGTACCCGTTGTTCCTGGCAGGACACAAATGTCTGGAAGCCCGGTGACACTCCAAAGCCAAGCTGGTCAATGAAAGATGGCTCGTTCTGACTGTGTATCTGAACTTTGACCCCTGCTTCATATGAAGTCTCATCTAGAGAAAGAAAAAGTGTGTGAGGTATTTAGATTCCTCACAGATCCTCCAGATTGTTAGGAAACCAAGAACATCATTCTGGTCTCACCTGTTTCACCCCAGACGGGAAGGTATTCATCTTGCTGAATATCCAGCATGAGCTCCAGTCCGTTACCCATACCGCCTTTGGTCGTGATGAGTGGAGGGTGTCCATCTCTGCCTGCGTTGTAGGTGTAGCACTTCCCGTATCGAGTGAAAACCTGACAGACACAAAGAAGGTTGTTGGTGGACCTATTAATGCTTTTCCACTGGGGGTCAGTGTTGGACTCAATTTTTAAATCTGGTGTGTGTGTGTGTGTGTGTGTGTGTGTGAGAGAGAGAGAGAGAGAGAGAGAGAGAGAGAGAGAGAGAGAGAGAGAGAGAGAGAGAGAGAGAGAGAGAATAATGTGCTTTGAGGGGTAGGTGGAGGAGAAAATAATAAGTTAGTTTTCTGTTTGTTACACAACCTAGTGAGGTGATGAAGACTGGCAGACCGGTGATTTAACATTCCCTTGTGTGCTCTTTATGGCACTTATAACGGACTGGATGTTACCATGGAGACCAAGCATCCCAGTTAGGAAGAATGCTGTCTTAATTTTCATAGAAATCCGAGTCATGAATGTTTAATTGAGCCTCTGTGAAAAAGAAACAACATTCTGAACAGTGTTCTGCATGGCGAGCGTCGTGTGAGTCACATCGACCCGAGCAGGAAGAACGTGGAAGACTGGAGGAGAGCGGGCAGAGATGCAGAGCTGGGATGCAAAGTGAAAGAGACAGAGATATAACGGGAGTTCAGATACCAACGCTCAGAGCTAGCTTTTGTTCAGCATTTGGGCGCAGACTGACATATCTATGATCAGAAAGAACAAACCAAACTAGTAATTGTCGTGAAAGAGTTTGGCTCTTGCCACAGGCAGTCTGAACATTTAGGCCATCTATCACATGAAGTCAGCATGGGACTGCTGCTGGTTGCTGCAGACGCAGACATCAATCTGAGAGGGGAAAATAACATTCAGCGCAAACAAAGAATAATGATAGGCACACTTTGTGTGTGTGTATGTGTGTGTGTGTGTGCACGCGCGCGCGTGTGTGCAAATTAGATGTTGTTTTCTACATCTTTTAGGATAAAAGGCACAACATAAAAGATACAAATCTGAAGGAAAGGCTTCACGGGAAGAACCTATCTGTCATGGTTTTCAGTTGTTTAAGGAACCAAGCTGTAGTCTAAAGTAAAACAAAAACTTTACTAAAAAATATAATCTTGTGACAAGGCAGGAACGAACGCTAACTCAAGGAATGACATGTCTGGAGCAGATGGAGAGGGAACACAATCAAACCAGGAAAACAAAAGGCTAAAAAGCAGGTAACAGATCTAAATGTGACCATGAGAAACCGTGGACTATAAACACTGGGAAGTGTCATGACTGAGAGAGAGCAGAGGTTGTATTGCAAAATGACTGAATGGAAAAAAGAGCCAAGTAAATGATTCAGACATGTGACAGCTTTTTGTTTGTTTTGTTTTAACAAGCTTGGTCTTCCGGGAGGGGCTCAAAGTAGATCGGCTGCTCCTCCACATCAAGAGGAGCCAGTTAAGATGGCTATGCCTCATGGATGCCTCCCTGGTGAGGTTTTCCAGGCAAATCCAACCAGGAAGAGACCTAAAGGAAGACCGAGGACACTCTTGAGGGACTATGTCCCTCAGCTGGCCAGAGACTCTCTTAGGATGACCCCAGAGAGGTGGACCAAGTGGTAGGGGAGAGGGAAGTCTGGATCTCTCTACTTAGGCTGCTGCTCCCGGGACCCGACCCCAGATAAGTGGCCGAAAATGAATGGATGGATGGATGTGACCATTTGCTCTATAACTTCTAGTAGGGCTGGGCAATAAATCAAAAATTGGTTATGGAAATTTCTGATGCTAACCGATATCATTTGTCCCATGTCAATGAATGCAGTAATACAAAAATGAATAGATGTGTGTAGGTTGGTGACGTTCATGTCCCTTTAACTCATTCATTGCCATTGATGACTAAAGTCGTCATTTGCATTTTTTAACTGTGTGGGAATCAGAACGAGCCCCCGCACCGTGAGAGCAAACATCCCAGCTCTAAAGCCGAACTTCATCCACGTACGTCACACCTCACGTGATCAGGAAGCAGAAAATCCATGTGTTGGGAGATCTTTTTGGGCTGCTGCTGTAAAAAAAACTGAGGCCCGTACCTCTGCCAATCACATTCGACAACGGATTATGAAATAACGGATAACGCTTGAAGTGCACGGATTCTTCCTGATGGTTAGGTGAGTTCACTTTTTGTTTTAGTAGTTTTGGCATGGACATCATCATAGAGCATAACGTTCTATGACTCTTAAAAAAACATTAAAAAAGCTGAAAAACACTGGCAGCGAAGGGCATTTCCAATCAGGAAACGGCTGGCCGTGAATTAGTTAAAGCAGTGGTACTCAACCTTTTTTCACTGATGTACCCCCGTGAAATATTTTTTTCAGCCAAGTACCCCTAATCAGCGCAAAAACATTTTTGGTTGTGAAAAACATGACCTTAAATAGGTGCCTTCAGTGACTGATTTATTAAACTTTGAAACTGATAAACAAGTACAAAATTCAACCATTTGGGAAAAAAAAACTATTTTGAATATTTTAAAAGTTAATACTCCATAACTAAATGTATTGGAAATATTTTTCATCACTAAAATGTGATTCTAATCAATTAATTGAAAACAGTCACCATAAAACTATTTAAAACCATAAGATTACCCATTGAAAAATCCATAAATGTGCAACACTGCACATTTTTTGTAGTATCTCTTGAACTATTTGGAAAAAATATATATATATAACTAGAAATATATAAAAAAAAATCAAATACAGGCCAAAGAAATGATTAAGCTAATTATAATTAAAGATTTGTGCTCATAAAAAGCATATCAACATAAAGCGTTCTCTTTTGGGATCATAGTATATCTGTTCTCTAAAAGAAATCATCAACGTCATTTTAAATAGCAATTGCTAAAAACAAATGTAAATCTCAAAATATATTTTTTAAAATCAAAAAGAAGACTGAAATCTTAACATTACTGCACTGATCGGAGTGTTTTTATAGACTTTTTAGTGAGACACTTGGGCTTGTGCTTCACTGAGGATCTTTTTCATCCTTGGTGGCAGGGAGGCAACTGCTGTGATCAAGCTCTTTTTTTAGACACAGTCTGCTTCTCTGATGTACCCCCTGGAGTTTCTTTACGTACCCCCAGGGGTACGCGTACCCCCATTTGAGAAAGGCTGAGTTAAAGCTTCTTTCCGGAGTATTTCTCTTATCCAGTGGCACCATCTAGTGGCTGACAAGCATATCACACAAAACCGCTGTTCCTCTGTTTATAAATGTGCTTCTGTAGTCGACAAACAGAGCTAAAACACGCTGTTCCACGAGTATTATTCTCATGTCATGTTGTGTTTTCATATATTTATATTTTAGTGACTTTCTTGTCCGTGAAAAGTTCATCAGCTCTGCATCAGCCGAGGTAGTGTCTTTGAAGCGTCTAAGCGGCAGTCTAACGCTATTGGTTAGTTCTGGTCGGCGCTCAGTTTCCTATTGCACGGAGCTCTGCGGGGCAGGGGGCGTGCTTAGTAAAAACAAAAAAAGACATGTTGCTTATATTAAATCACAGTACATGATAAGATAATCACTTTTACAGATTTCTGACAATTCATACATAATTTCTGAAAGAGGAAAACTCCGGAAAGCAGCTTTAAGAAGTTGTATCATCTCAAGTCACATGACAGCGTGACTCAACGTAGTACCTGACAGCCACATCTAGTGGACATTTTTTGTTTTTGTGCACACACATAGTTGTTGTCCGATTATTGTTATTGATGTGAAATCCTCCATGTACCATGATACTGATTTTAGGGCGTATCGCCCCGCCCTAGCTTCTTGCAACATTAGGCCTTTTATTTCCCTTTGGTTGGCATGGTAAATCCTAGTACCGGATTAATAATGCCTTTTTATTTGCAAGGTAAAAATACTCAGAGTTGATTTGCACCTATCGATCACAGACGGCACAGTGGCTGACTGAACACATGCAGGTGAAACGCTGCCTGCTTATCAGCAAATGGAGGGAAACACGTCCAATGGCCAGACTTCATAAATAAATCAATCGTTCCATAAATATTAAATCGTGCAGGTGAGAGGTGTACGGGCTCATTGATACACAGGTGTGAGCTGACCTAAGGTTGTTTTTTCTCAGCTGTTTGTTTCACATTTGATGTGACAGAGGTGATAAGAGTGTGTTTGTTGCACTGGGTCCACGCAGAATGCATACTGCTGCTTGTTACTGTGAATAAATAAATGAAAGCACATTTAAAACAAGGACAAACTTTTACTACAGCAGAAGTCACATCAGAGACTCCACATTTTACACCAGCGACAAAGCCAAATTCATATGTTGAGACATTTGTCTTTTTCAATTTTTCTCAAATCAGTCTCCCCATAGCTTAATGAATTACTTTCAACATTTCAACCAGACCATAATGTGCACAGCTCTGTAATCAATAAAGCCGTCACTGACGCAGAATTTCCGAGTGAGCTGAAAAGCACTCAACAGAACTCGGCGATGATAAATCATTATGCACATAATTATGCATGTCTGTTTTTAAAGCGTGTCAAATTTTGAAGACGTTCTCTAAATGACAAATCCACGCATTCTGCCATCCTCTTTGCGGGTCTTAACACGGCCTTCTGCCTTCTGTGACTGGCGGAAGGATGTCTCAGCCGCTTACGCTCCATCCATTAGTGCTCCCTTGTTAAACAGGGATGGTTTTAAAGACTTGAAAGCTGTCTTTGTAAAGAGCAACACTTTCACTGTTATTAAGCTGCATGTTTAAACAGCCACCACTGGGGAAACACACACACACACACACACACACACACACACACACACACACACACACTCATATGCATGCATGCACACACACACACATTAGCGAATGTACACACATGCACACATGCACATAAACGCACACACACACACACACACACACACACACACACACACACACACACACACACACACACATGCATGCACACGGACGTGCACACACTCATATGCATGCATGCACACACACACATTAGCGAATGTACACACATGCACATAAACACACATACATGCACACACACACACACACACACACACTCACACACACACACACACAC